TTTCAGTCGCTTTTTCCACATCATGACCTTCAATTATCATGAATTATATATAATGCGGGCCTTGATCGTTGCCACCTTACCAGAAGTCTAATGTTCGCACTGTTAGACCGTGAGAATCACTATTATTATTCCATAAATGCACCATTGACTTTTCCTTGCTCAGCTTCCGGTAAACCGATACTCCGAAGAAAAAATAGCCTTACAACGACTCTATCCAGGCCAGAACTCCTGATATCACCAAAATTCCCCCCGCCTAAAGAGAGTAAACGTTCCCCGAACTATTCACTTGACCCACCCCGTCCCTTCGTTAAAAAAAACTACGCACTCAGGTCACTGGACAAAACGCGCTCGTGAATATACCAAACTATACCCGTTCATCCTACAAGCGATCTCAGTTTCAGCAGGCGTGGCCACGTTTCCAGTTGCTGTAAGATTAATTCGACACCTGCAACAGACACTGTAAATTAAATAGCAGCCACAACGCCCTTCCTTGAAACCGTCAGGACGAGAAAGTTTATAAAAGACTTAACAGGTGTGCGCGGCGGTTTCCTTTTCTTCCTTCCCTCCCATTGTAGCACTCAAATTCTGACCCTGATATTAATTCTAGTAGTAATCAATCGTTCCTGAGCCGATAGGCCCAAGGATACCAGTTTCTTGCAAAATATGCTGTGACATCCGTTTGCCCATCCTCGTTTCTGCCTTCGGCCGCTGATTAGGTTTGGTTCTAAGCTTTGAAATAACTTTAGGAACTTTAGGAACGAAACATGATACGCGAGGGGCGTGTCCGGCTAAGGGCAAGTGACTCTCGGCGGTGAAGACATATACTGAGCTTGTCAGTATTTCGTAGCCTGTACCACGTCGCGAAAATAGAACAAACCAAAGAAATTGAAGACGCCTTTCCCGCAGGTTTTTCGCATACTTTTTACTGCACAACTGATTCTACCTTTTCGAGCCGGAGCGAACATGGACGCCCTTGGGGTTAAGTTTCCACTTCATTTTCGGTACCTGACTAAAGGCAAGCGCTGACTTGTGCGCCTATGCTTCGTTTGCACTGAAGTAGCAGTATATGACCACGACAGACTTGCTGCTATCCTTGGTTTGAAACCGCAATGGGCAAGAACAATTTCTTAAAAAGAGCAAACAATTTCCTCCTTAGCACTTAGCAGACATGGAGAACAACTACTAGGACTGAAGCAATGCCATTGCTTAAGTCCTATTAGACTTGAAAGGAGAAAGCATGATGCTCTCTCTTCTTAATGATTTACGGCTAAACAGTACAATTTCAGGTAGCTTTTACGCAAAATTAAATACTTAGTTGTTTGCAGAATTGCATTTAACAACAAATTACAGAAATTTAACTAAGTTTAGATCTCATAGATAAGAATTGAACGGAAAAAACTTTTGGGGTAAAAAAGTCAAAAAATAATGTTTGCTGGAAAATCACTTAATGGACATACAATAGCAGAGATATGATGCCTGTAATTTTCTATTCAATGCACCTTATGACAAGTCTGACTTATCCACTGGTAACCCATGCCTTAAAACCGCCTTGAACCTTAAAATGTAATCCATTTGCCTTTCATGCGTAGAACACTCCGGGGTTGGGGGCAAAATCAGAAGAACAGAACATTCAGTTACTGTACCATTTTTAAAAGTGGGACAGTATGTTTGCTAATCATCTTAGTTAACCGCTTTTAAAATAGGACAAAAGGACACCTGGTCATACAGGAAAATGAATTTACTGTATCTCGAAAGCTTTGGTTTCCCGTGCACTTATTTTTCGCAGGAGACAATCGATAATTGCTTGGTCACGCAATCGGAGGTGAGTAACTAATTAAAAGTCATTGATAACATCGCCGCTTAGCAAATACACTACGTGCTGCAAAGGATCCAAATTGCGCTAGAATGTTTTCCTATTCGGCCCACTTTTCATGTCAGGTAAGGCACTGCAAAGCTGATTCATTTACGAAGGTTCGAGCGAGAATTATTTCATGATGTTATTCTGATTTCGCAGTCACGGGAAAACAGACCTAGACTCAGGTCCACTCGCAGACGCCATGGTACAATCTACAAGATCTCAAGAACAGAAATTACCCATTGAACGGCCTCTCCTTTTGAAGATTGCGTGTATTTCATTAAAACAGGTACATATTAAAAGAATCTTGTTAGTTTCTCCCTTTTAACGAGCTCAAATGATCTCAAATCGATGCATAAAACTAAGGTGACGTGCACTTGTCAACTGACCCTGGGGTCAATTAGCGGTTGTTTGGGGCAAAATAACCTCAAAATAATCAATCTATTTTACAAGCGTTCGCAAGAACACCAGACTAACTTTCAGATAATGTTGAAGTACTATATCTCATTGGGTATTAAGCGGGATTTGGGGTGATTTGGAGAATTCCCCCTTGTAGAAAATTCGATTTTGGTTTTAGCGGTAAATTGTTGTATTTATAAGCATTATGCAAATTACGTTTCAAAATTGTGCTCGTTCGTCGATATTTTATTCTCTAAATCTAAAAAAATGTGCTGTTTAGAAATTGTTAACATCTGTGTTTTGAGATTTAAGTGGAAGATTGCCAATATATTCGCTCGTTTATGAAAGTCAGCTCATTTCTGTCGCTAGGCTATATTGCCGTGTTCGGCGGCTAATTTTAGGCCCGCAGACCGTTGAAATCGAAAATCTCAAATAATTCCCAAATTCGGCCGCATTTTGAAATTTAAACCTCAGCAGTGTTATAAATTCATTAAAACCTTATTACAGACTTAAAATGAGGGTAGGTTAGGTTTTGAGCTGTGGCCACGGTTTGCTCGATTTTTCTGTGCATTCGCTCTTAAATACGGCAGTTGATTCAGACTTCGGATATGATGGTGCCGAGTTTAACTCCGTTTGTTGTAAATATTCCGTCTGTAGAAATTTTTTTTTTACAATATGGATAAGGGTTTCTATAATTAATGCGTTATATTCAGCACATGTGAAATGCGACTTCTAAATCATGATACATACCGCATTTTTTACATGTTTATATTGTTTATCAGTGTTTCCATTGTTTTAGGTTAGAGTAGCAAACCATTTGGCTTTTAGGGTTAGAAGAGCTGCTACATGACCTCTTTCCCGGAATGAAGAAAAACAATATATATGGCCGCCAACTACATCCTTTTAGTTTTTAAAGTTCTCCTTTATTAACAAACGTTGAACATTTGTTTCGGCAAACAAACAGTTAAGTTGAAAAATGATTTTACAAAAGTCTCAAAAGTAGGTCTCCTTTTCGATTTAGATTTCCAGCGTGACCGGTCAATTTACGCAACTTTTAAACTTATGGCTCAGTTTTCATTGGCCTCTGCTTTAAAAATGGAATGATAATTACTCAGAGACAATACAGTGTAAAAAGTTGTTGAGAAAACAACAAAAACTTGCCAATTTATGAGGTACTTTGAAAACGAAATAGAACATTGAAAGCGCTTTGATCACGTGTCTGATGATGTCCTGTCCCTCTTTTGGTCATGGAAAAATATTATTAGGTAGAACATTACTTTCCTGCAAATTTTCACTGCCGTGTGATGAAAGGTCGATACTCTACAGCCCTCAGCCTAGTCTCCCGACTTGTTCAATCATGTTCATTACCCCCTTAAATTTCAAATGCCGGGCGTCAACTGGTTACTTTTAAATGCACCACACAACTAAAACATTAAACACTTAATGACTGGTCCTGATTTCTGCAATGTTGCCCGCTCAGAGGCTAGATTTTGGAGGGAAACACTTTCATTGATAGATGTCATGTGACCTCTATCCAACCAATGAGAGCGCACGGTGTTGGAAAAAAATTTCCAGCTAAATAACAATTTACAATATTAATATCATTATTCATTCTATTCTTTTAAGCGGAATCTGTCTCCTCCTGGAATGTAACAGTACTCAGTATAACCTCATCTTCAGCAAGGTTGCATTGGCCACACCGTCCACTGCCAGCGCAGTCTGTCAGTTACTACTTAGTAAGGTTTAAAGAGGTCTCCAATGCAGTCAGCAAGGTTTTTAAAGCTAATAGCAACTCCTATTACACTAATCTTCTCAGAGCATATAGAGTCTATGAAGTTAAGGTGTTCGCTGTTACGTCAAGCCGAGAGAATGCTACATACGCAAGTAATACAGTGTCCATAGTAACGCCAGAAGGAGGTAAGGATCCCGCATCAGCATACATCTTTTTCTAGATTATACCACTAATGACGATTTTTCATTGTAAACACGAGACTTTACTGCGGTGTGCATATATGTCTGAAAGAATCAAGTTACTAGTATATATACATAATTCTGACACAAAAGCAAAACAAAAGACAAAAGACGACAACGACCAAACAAAGCAGAGAGAGAGAAAAAAAAAACACTCTCACTCCGTTGACTGCTCTACTCCACACCTTTAGTTTCAGTAATCAACAACGAACTCACTGCCTTGGTGTAAAAATAAAAGATCGTTGCACCTTTACTTAGTTAATTACAAACCTAAAAGGCAAGTTCCTGGCACGAATCAATATGACCCATGACCATCTCTATTTTTGTACTCAAGATGTGCTGCATTGGGCTTACAACATCAACATGGTGCAACAATCAAAGGAATTTTGCAAAAAGTTTGCAAAACGCGAAGCGTGATACAAAGAATTTCGCTGTAAACTGTTACAAATCTGTTTCATTGAAAAACCATTGTTTCCATAATTGAAGGTGAAAAGAAAGAAGACAATTCCATTGAAACCCTAATCAGTAATTTGTCCGTCATCACGAACAAATAACTAGCCTTTATTATATGGCAAAGCCAGTCTTAACAAATCCGTGCGCTCTGATTGGTTCTTTTTCGGTCTTTTTCGTCAGGTATTTTTGTCTTGGAGCAAAGCCCGCAAATTCTCAATTTGCAACCAAAACAGCGAAAAAAAAATTGTAAATATTGTCATTCTTCACAGCGAAACTACCAGAAAAAGCTAAAAAAGATTGAAATTTTACCGAGATATCAAAGATGGATGAAGAAGACGAACGTTCTCCGAGCGTGTTTTATTATCCTGAAGATCTGGAAACTTTTGATGCAAAAACTGAAACAGGCATCATCGAAAGCCGAGAGGCTATAGACGATTTTGTCACTCAACAGAAAAGTGCAAACACAAACAAGAAGACGGCTACTGATGTGAACACTGTACTTCGCTACATGGAAGCTAATTGTATGAAAAATGAGAAAATTGAAAGCTTACCTGCGTCCTAGCTTGACCACCTTTTGTCGAAATTTTTTTTCGGAACGCACGCAAGAAAAACAGAGAAGAATACGAGCCAGTAACAGTTTCCAGTTTTCAGCACAGTATACATCGATACTTAAGTGAGAAGAAATATCTATTTGACATACTCAACGACAATGAGTTCGAAAAATCTAGAAAGTCTTTGCAGCGAAGCGAAAGTCACTTGTTCACGAGCACGGGAAAGGAAACAAACCGCAAGCTGCTCAGGCCATCGCGGAAGACGAAGAGGATGCCCTTTTTGAAACAGGAGAATCCGGCAACTCCAATCCAGTTGCGCTTCTAAGAACTGTGTGGCATAATCGACGCTCAAATAAAGAAGTTTGGTAGATGAAGGCACCCCTCGGAAAAAATAAAATAGGAAAGAGAAGGAAAAAAAAGTAACCAATCATTCTGTCAGGAAAACCTGTATTTCAAGGCTCCTTGATGCTGATGTTCCAGAAAACTTTGTAACCCAACTGAGTGGCCACAAAAGCACGGAGAGTTTACAGTCCTACAAGTCCGCCAGTGCTAAATACCAAAAGAGGATGTCCTTGACGCTCAGCAGAGCTGATCTTTCTAGATCCAGCGATCAAACTTTATCAAGTGTCCATAATCAAGGGGTCGAATTAGTAACTTGCTCGACTACAGACGTCGCTGCTCGTACGACCACAAATTCATTGATTGATCAGTAAAGCGATCCGTTACTGTCTTTCACCGCTCCAGTTTTTACAGGTGCAAACATAGGATCCATCAGGGGGCGCAAATTCCAAATATTTCATGGTAATGTGAAAGACTTTCACTTGACACTGACTTGATCCATATCATCAAAAAAATATTGTTCGATCGACAAAACATCCTTTCTCGAATTTTAGAATCAACAATTGCTTTTGTCAGATTCCGTTAAAAGCGTTTTTGAAGTTTTGTTGAAGCTAATTTTAGACGCGTTCAAAATTTGTTTCTCGAACTCGTGGTAGCTTGCTTTTGTCCGAGTTGTTCGCGTCATCAAGAATACGTCACGGCGGAAGCCCTTTAAGTGCAAGCCACCTGAAGTGCATTTTACTATCAGCAATAACCGAGTGCCATATAATAAACAACTTACTGACCGAGTGCGAGGGCCGCACTGGGGAATATTGGCCCTCGGTCGTGGCACTACGGACCGAGCGCAGCGAGGTCCGTACGGCCTCTTTCGAGGGTCAATATTCCCCGGTACGGCCCTCGCACTTGGTTAGTAAGCGGTTATTATTTTTTTCCAAGAATGCGAGCGGGCGGAATCCTCCAAATCCTGAGAGTGTGTGGTATTTTATGATCTTGCCCGCCAACCCGGGCGGAATAGTTGGCAGCTTCATTCACAAGTTTGTTTGTTGTTTGTGAATGAGCAAAAACCGTGATTTTTAAACCAGTTTTCGTTTAAAACGTGCGCTATTATTACCATTAGCGAGGGAAAAGTGATTTTTATTGTACAGACAAAAAATCTGAAGAGAGAGCATGTCAGTCAGGAAAACCGCTAAAGTAAAGCAAAACAGGCGGCTCGTGATGTCGCTTCACTAGCTTTATAACCGCGGTGTAAGTACTGCAATCTTGCTTTTATGCACCGTTTGTTCGACATTTTTGCTCTGTTTGTAGTTTTCTTTTCCGTTTTTGCTGTCCGAATCTATATTCTACCGTTTTTCATTGAATTTTGCCTCCCTAGTTTTCTACGTAACAGAAAAGGTTGTTTTCAATGATTGCATTTAGCTATTAATTTTAAATAAACAAGAGTATGTCCGCGACTTAAATTTATTATCATGAATATCTTACCAGAATCAAATCGTAACGTGCTGAAATACCCCATGAAGATAGCTTTTATGATCCTCTCGACAATCGTGAAGCTGCAAGTTCCAAACTCAAGTATTTTGCTTGTAATTCGAAAAAAGGCGACCGTACTCGATGGTCCTGGGTCCGTAATTGTGGTCCTTGGTCCGCGAATGAGGTAAGCAGCACACACACACACACAAAAACTAACAAACAAACAAAAAAACAAAACAAAACAAAACGTGAGAATGCGATAGTTTCCACACGAAAACGTAATTTTCACAATATTTCAATGTATTTTTTCTATTCTCGATGCATTAAAGCTATAGTTTTTTCGGAAGTTGTTGTGAGTATAAAATAATCTGCTTTTCTTTCAAAGACTTCAGACCAGAATTTGTAAACATGAATAGAGACGATTTTTAAAACATTCTTCGAAAACACCGAAAATTCCCGCCGCGAGCGTGCTTCCAACGGCAGAAAAAGGTTTATCTGAAAACCTGTTCTCCAAAAAGGCACGTCTTCCCGTTGCGTTTTATTTATTCACGAGCTAAGTAAACATGGCAATGCAATTGCCGTAAAAGTCCAAACTTCAAGAAAGACAAATTAACGTACCTGTCAACAAACTTTGATTTCACGCCTTCACCTCCACCAGGAAACCGAAACTTGATCGTCATATGAAAGAATAATAATTAGTAAATAATCGCACCTTTCACTTTTCTCCGTATTTTATTTCTCGAAGAAATATTTAATCATGTTTCGAAAGTCACGAACCAAGGACCTCGCGGACAAAGGACCACACACTGCACGATTTTTTTTTCTTTTTTTTTTTTCCAGCAGTCGGTTTATATCGCCGTTTTCAGTTTCTTTAATTGTTTATGTACAGTCTTTGTACAGTTTTCATCACACTCAATTGAACTAATCTTAAAGTAACTCAGCCGAAGAAAATTCTTGCTGTATTTTTTTTTCCTGTGGCTTCAAGCTCCTTGTTTGACACTCACATTATACACTTAATGTCAGATCCCGAGGGAAACAGTTAGTTTTGTTTTCCCAAGAGTCCTGATGTTTCCCGAGACGAAGTCGAGGGAAACATCAGGACTCGAGGGAAAACAAAACTAACTGCATGGTTTCCATCGGGATCTGACATTAAGTGTTTTGTTATATTTGTAGACTTTCACTCCAACGTACTTCAACAGCAACAAAAAAATACGCTTAAGAGGGGCGAATCAAACAGTACGACTTGGTGCTTATAAGAACACAAATTTAATTCTCAAAACCACTGAATGAATGGTTAAAAAAGTACTTTCCTTACATTATCTGCATGTTTTTCCTCCAGTAGCTGCTGTTTCTCTTCTGGGATAACTTTGAAAATCGTTGCTTTTTAGCTTGAGGCTTCATGTTTGTGTTATTGTGAATGTTGTTGTGTTCATTCACGAAAAAGAAATCTTGCAGTGTTTTCCCGCCTTCTGTCACGCCACTTTCCACCATGCTTTGATCACGTGCTGTAATGTATCCCGAGCGGGGTACATTGCTTGATGTATCACGATCGAGATACATTTGGTTTTAGTCAAGGCCACGTGACCAAGAATCACTGTCCCTGTTCAGTTGAGTGAAAGTCTAGGAATATAACAATATGAATTGTCTACCAAGACACAAACTTCTTTATTTTTAAAGAGAGCTTAATAGTGATAATATGAATTACCGAGGTAAAAATCATGTTGCAATGTTTTGTTTTGGTTTGCAATGGATCGCGCGCTTCATCAACACGAACGGGTCTCACTTCAACACTCAGGTCGGTCCATTTTGGGAGAAACTTTGCCCTCGGTTTAAGTGCTGCCCTCGGCCTACGGCCTTGGGCGGTACTCAAGACCTCACGAACAGTTTCTCGCAATACGGACCTCCTAGCCAGTGAATAACATATATATTTTCTATACCTTAATCGAGATATTCTACATCTCACTTAGTTCCCAGCCGTGCACCAACGAACATTACAGTTGAAAACTACGGATTGAATGAGTTCTTGGTCAAATGGAATCCCCTTCCAATTCAGGAAGCCAATGGTCGCATATTAGGATACAACGTCTACTACAAAACTTTCAAACAGCTGTACTACTCCTTTCCGGACAACATTTCAAGAATCAACAACACAAATATGCCACGAGTAATTTTGCAGAATATTCGAACTGGAGTAACTTACATAATTTCCGTGGCTGCTTTCACTTCTGTTGGAACCGGACCAAGGTCATACCCTGTCTATAAGGAAAAAGGTAAATATATCAAGCCTAAAGCAAAGATCTCGCGCGCAGCGGAGAAGAATGGGTAAGGAAATTTGGTTATTTTTTATATGCATCCAATAAATTTTTGTTTGTAACAAAATCGTCCGTAGGTACGTATGTTTGCTTTCTGCTTATGGCAAAAGCTGAATTATTTGAGAAACTTAACTCGAGTGCTTTAATAGGGTTGGTGGATTTTCCGATGGGGGTCATTGCATTCTGTTCTTAATTTACTCAAAAAGCAAGTGAATTTTTTGGGGGGAGTGCAAAATTGAAATGATGTGGAAAAATTGTTAAATTCCAGGTTAATTCATGTGGACTGAAAGCTGGTTTTGTATTTCAAACAATGATTTTTTTCTTTGATTATTACAACGATTCAATAATTGAAATTAACTATTGGTGCAAATAATTTATTAATTGATTATTCAAGTAATTAATTAATAATGAATTTATCATTTATCCTGCATGTCAACTGTTTTTTTGGCAAGTTAAAATGTCTCAAAGGTTATTACCTACAAGCTTTTAGTGACACAAACTTCTTTGCACCCTGTATGCACTTTGGTTAAACTGTAAAGATCAAGATAAAAGGCGTTGTAGTCTAGGAGCAATCTTGTGGTATTTTCGTGGGATTCAATGATCGTTAAGTCAGAAAACAAGTGGGAAACCCACAATGTGAAATGGACCAAATGCAAATCAGATTAGTATAAGATTCTTTTGCCGTTTAGTGCACTTATATGAATTTTTCAAGTAAACAGAGGAGAATGTACTAAAGTGTGTTCTGTGTTCTGTGTGTGTGGGTGTGTTGCACGTAAGTATATGTCTTAGCTTTGTTTTATCTTCCTTTTTGTATTTGTTTTTTTCTGTGTGAAAAACATTGTATTAGTCAAACCTATTTTTAAAACAAAATAATAATAATAATAATAAATTATTCAAATACAAAAAAATATATATATATATATAGATACTTAAAAGCAATCCGCGTATCACTATATGGCCCGTGGATTCGTTCACGCAAGTCAAATTGGGTGAACACGTGGCAAAAATTATTTAACACAAATCTCACATCAGAGCGCTCAAGCAGATCTCAAAATGTATAAAACGTCTATGAAATGTTTACAAATTCGCAAATTCCTCTTAAAACGTAATTTTCTAGTCTAGAAAGAACACAATGTACCGGAAAATTATTCAAAAAACTTCATTGCTTGGCTGTGTTTCAGAACAGGCCAAGTGTCCAATCCGTCAACCGTGAAGAAAATTTAGAATTCCTCGAAGGAAAATTTTGTAAAGACATGCCTTCCCTTTTTCACTGAACTAAGCATTCTCTTGAGCTTTCCCGTCACATCAGTACCTTTTAGCGGTGTATTTTAAACCTTGAAAAGGGAAACTTTGGCCTCGTAAACCACCGCATAAGATGTCTCACTGTTGAGGATTTTTATCTAGGCCTCAATTCTCCGCTCGGACGACGTGACCCGAAAAAAATTGGCCGCGCTGATTAATGAGGCCTAGGGACAAGGAAAGGTGTTGCAGTGGTTCAATCTTAATAAAAGATTCAGACATTATTATATATATCATGAAGATTCTTTGACGAGGTTTAGAGATATATAGAAAAGCGGTAGAGCTAGAGGTCAAATTTAGAATAAAGTTGCACTTAGACAGGAGGTGAGAAAACACGTTGGTTTTACGGATCACAAGAAAGAAAATACACTAAAATTTCCGAGAAGCAAAATATGATATTAAGCAGTATTCTGATGCGAGTTAAGAGTAACGCGAGTTATTTAGATTTCTTTTTCGTTATACAATTTATCACGGCTATTGGAAATATAAGGCTAAAAAATATATATCACGTTTTATCTGAATTCAAACATACAGAAATTTTTACCTCTTACGGAGGTTATTTGGCAAAACACGACACTTAAAGTTCCTGGCCGGTGTCACCTTTTCAGTAGAAGGCCTTATCTCGCAAAGTTCATCTTTTATCGATTTCAAAGTTTTTTGTTTATTGTTGCCATAGTGATATCGATTTTACTTAAGGCTACATTTTAATAAACTTCAAACCAAAGTCAGTTAGTGGCGAAAGTTTCTTAGCGATTAATCGAGGATAAATTCACTTCTGAGGCGATTGAAAAATTTCAGTATGGTCCTCAAAAAAACTGCATCGAAACACCTTGATAAAGCAGAATAAAAGAAATATCGTTTTCTAATATGCAGTGACAGTCAATGTAATTGTCGTTCATTATTTTTTTTTATGATTATTATTGCTTTAAGGTTGTACAGCCTCTGTGAACCAGTCGTTTGGATGGTTAAACTTCACCACTTCCAACACCAACTGCAGTGTTCAAATAAATAATGCTGGTGCAATTCACGGGGTCGTCCTAATCTCATTCAAGTACATTTATTGCAGGTAATGTTGTATTGTTCTTTGTAGATCAGAAATCAGAAAGGCAAAGTAAAAAAAGGAAATAAGTCAAAGTAAATCGCTAAAATGAAGATGGGTTACAGCAACTATTTTTTTTATTGTTAAAGAAAATATCCGAAAAAAAACGAAAGGGTTTAAACTAGACATGCTACGATCGTCCATTTTGTGGTAGTTAAGTGGTGTGGGTATTGTTCTTGCATTACGTTATTTGGCGATTGCACTCATCTGCAACACCAAGAAACTACTATGTTTAGGATTCTTCTTTTTCTTTAATTTAAATTTCCACACGCTTTTGTGTATGATTTCATGGACAGTTTTCCAAGTAATTATTAGTTGCGTTTACAGAGCATTTGAGTTGCCTATTTTTTTTATTCTCTGCAGCAAGTTCATCAAGATTTATGACAATACTGGCAATGAGGTTTTCGGTCGAAGAGGAGGTTGTCATTCACGTTCTAGCGGACAGTCGGTTGAAGTTCCATTTGGTGGCAGTGATAGCATAACTTTGGTGGTCTCTCTTTCACCCTGGTCATGGGATGGCTACGCACGAATTCAATACACAGTGTTAGACAAAGCATTCGGCTCAGGTAATAAGACCCTATGACAAGTTTGCTTGAAAGCTGAGGAAAGGTTGCATCCACTCCCTCAGCTATCGTGACGCAGTTAGAGTAGGAAGTATATCGTAAACGTTTTACTATATGTTTAGAGGAAGTGATAAATTACTTTAAATATATAAACGTTGCCAATTCTCCTCACTTGCAGCCAATGGCTGAATTGCGAGGGAACCAGGGAGGTGAGATCGGACGTCAGCACGTAAAGGCGCACTCTTGCAGCCACTTCAGTCCGTGTTTTGATCACACCTCGCCCACCCAGACCGATGACGTCACAAGTCAGATTGACCATGACATCGGGGCCTACGTCCCCTACTCTTTTCGAACAATGTCACGGGTTCTTTTACGTCCCCTTACAACTGAAGTACAATGATAAAGGAGACAAGGCCAACGGCTTAACGTCAACGCCCAATAACGCGATCATCTGAACTGATAAAGGAGTTTCACAGCTAGCATGATCTCATCAGTTTTTTTAAAGACCTAGGTTGATGGTCCGACCGGGGTTTGAACTCACGACCTCCCGCTCAGCAGATCGGCGCTCTTTCGGGCGGCGGTACAAAATAAGTGGTTTACAGATTCACCCTTGAACCTACTTGCACATCACCTGTTTTACGGTATCAAGACTTGCGAATCCCTAGATTTCAATTCCTCCCTAAAAGAGGGAGACATTGGAGGATACCCAATACCTCAATACTGCAAGAAAAATTGGCAAATACCGAAATACCGTGTCGAAAATCGACGAAACTGTAGACTGTAGACCGCGGAACCTGCGAAACCGGCAAAGCCAACGGAACCTAAAGAATTGACTGCTTTATTACAACTACCTTTAGTTAACGTGATAAGTAATCAGTTACAATCAATTGTAACATTGATAGACTGTTCACAGTCCGTTTTTTTTCCCGTAAGATCGTTAAGATCGAGGGCTCACCTTCACTGGCAGCCATTTCACTGTTACGCAACAAACGTAACGTTTTGGTCTACCAATATGGCCGCCGGAAAACAGCAGAAACATCTGGAGTTCACGTTTTCTATAAAAGCTCTTTCTTTTCACTCGAGAACTAGCATACGGGCACATAAACATATCTTCTAATACTTGAAATGGTTATACTGCTGTAAATCAAGAGGAGAGACTTTTTTGAACGAGGCAGCATTCCCGTTGTGGTGTCTTGCACTATGAAAACTTGGAATTTCAAATTGCTTTATTTTCGCAATGAAACATGCTACGAGACTGAAAACTTGTACAAAGATTTATTTTTTGTTTATCTTCAATCTAGTTTAAATAAGAATTCGTAAAACCTCGCTATTTTGACTTAACAATTTGATGACGTCACTGTGAAAACCATATATTGGACTCACATATAAGGAGAGAGCGACCTTCGGGGTTCCCAAACCGTCCCCCGCGCTTTAACTACAGTACAAGCTAGACTCGGTCAAGGTGGCCGCCTGTAGCCTCTTTCTCGACGATCTTGCGGAAAAATAGAGGACTTTGAACAGTGTATATCACCATAACATTAATCGAGAGCTCTCTTTCCGAACGGGAAGTCCACGTTAGCGAATTTCCGGCGTAAGCTTGTTAGTACGTAGGAAGGTAACGAGAGGTATATATTTAAACAAAGTAGCACAAAGTTGGGAGGATGAGAGAATGTAAATGTGCTTGTGAAAATTGATAATATTGAGCGAATCGCTGGGTGCTATCCGACAACTAAAGGGATACGTCTGGGTGAGTCGCTTGTGTGAGTGTGTGTGATAGTATAAACACGCCGCATGGCTCCTGGTTGAGGAGACTGAGATTGTGCGTCTCGTTGAAGAAACATATGCGTCGTATTCTCAGGGCAAGGCTGAATGGAAAAGCTCGTATATTTTGTAAGGGGTGAGATGATGAGCGTAAAAGGTATTGATGTTCGGCTGTAAGTTTAGTATAAAGAACAATTTCAATGATCGATACCATCATTGAGAGACATCTTGACGTAGAGGGAGGAGGAAGATTTGGATGAGCAGTTTGATGTAAATTTAATAGTGGGATAAAGGGTATTCAGGTAAGAGATGGAATAATGCTTTTATAGTGAGAATGAATTTGACGGGGTCGCAAAGATTCTGTGTAAAGCGGTCACTTCTGTTTCGGAACCAGAGCTCTCGATCAGTGATACTAAACCGAAATCGACAACAGTTTTCAGTGATCTGTACTGTCATCGAAAATAGCTCTTGACCAATAAGCGGGTGAGAAATCGCTCAGTTATAGTAAAAACTTAATAGCAACGTATTATTTTATCACGTTAGCCAAAGGCAGTTGTAATAAAACATTCATTTCTTTAGGTTCCGTAGGTTCCGCCGGTTCCGTAGATTAGTCTTACCGTCGAGAAAACTTGAGAAGACCTTGAATTGATATATACAACGATTAAAAAGCCCGGTCGTTGGATGCCCTACCAATTTCGTCATTGCTTAAGCGTCAGAAATTGGGTAATCATTTACCATTAAGCTTTAAGTCGAAAAAATATTGATCTTTAATTATTAGAGAGGAGAGCGCAAATAAACAGTGCTGCAATACCGCAGAGTACGGTGAAATATCTTCCTTTACCGAATGCCCTTAGCCAAAAGGACGAAAACAGCAAGCCGCCAATCGCAGATCTAGATGATACCGCAATACCCCGCATTAAAATAAAAATTATTGCTCAATACTGCAATACCGTAGACTCCCATGTCCCTCTCTAAAAATAGAACATTCCTTGTTTCTCTCATGTTTTATGCTTAAAAAGGTTTTAGCTTTTTGTCATAATGGCGATGATTATAATTATGTTTATGATGATGATGATGATAATGGTGTTTATATTTAATTAATCATCATTATCATCATCATCATCATCGTTATTATTATTGTTATTATTCGTCCACAGCGAAAGTGGTGCCTTCATGGAATGTTACCATCACCTACAAGACATCATCGTCATTGACATTACAATGGACAAACTTCCCTAGTAGTGTTCCAATCGAACGTTTTTTGGTGAAGTATAAAGACAAAACTTCAAACATCAGCTTGATCTACCGCGTCTCTAAATGGAATAACTTACATTACACCGGAAATATACTTAGAGGGTACTCGCTTTACGAGGTTAATGTCTTTGCTGTGGCGAATACTTCTGGGAATGGAACACTGTATCAATCCAGTGAAGTGATAACTGCCAGAACTAGCGAAGGAGGTAAATAAATCAAAACATAAAAACAAAACAAAAACAAAAAACAAAAAAAACAAGCAAAAATGAACAACAAAAAAATGTCAACCAAGTGGATGAAAAACAAGCAAACATAAACAAACAAACAAAACAATCCTACCAATCAGCGCTGTGTTTAACGGTCTGGGGAGTTGTTCGAGCAACACGGGAAGGTAAGGAGAGTTTGCGTCTTACATCGTTGTCTTTGTTTCTTTACTCTTCTTCATTCTCTTACTTCCTTCCCTTATCAACTCCAAACTCTCATAATCTTCTCTTCTCCTCATTTTAACGAGTCAAATACTAAGGGTTTTTGTAGCCAAAGTTGGACGTGTTTGGGTTAGCTGACCGTGGGAATAAAACAAGGTGTTACATGATATTACTGAACCTACATGGTTGCGATCGGCAAGGAGCTGCAAACCATAGCAAAACTGACCTTAAGAACAGGAGCAAAAGCAACAAAACGTTTGGTGAGCACAGTCGACAGTTTCTAGGCAATTTCACGTTGTGGTCACTCAAATGAACTTAAAAAAAATATATGCAAAAAAAAAAAAAAAAGTGTGCTGCACGTACCGTGCACGTTTGTTTGTTTCTTTGTTTGCTTTTTCGTTAATAGACCTATTGATTTATTTTGACGTTCTCGTTGCCGTTGCCGTTTGGCATTACACGTTTGGCCTTTTTTTTTTTTAAGTAAATTATAAGTATATTAATGAGAGTTTCGCTTTTAGCCCTGGCTAACTCAGTGTATTATTTAGTTAGCTAGATGTATAACTTTCATTGTGATATAGAACTTAGACATGACGTGGACGCTAGACACCCCTGGTAACCATCTTAATGTAATTTTTTTCCTTTTATATCTCCTTTTTTGTGTACCTTCTCACAAATACCGCCATTTGTTAATGTTTTAATTTTCTGAGTGCCCAGCGTTGCACCTTCGGGCTTACGAGTTTCTACGCTGCAGTTCACTGAATTAAAGGTGCAATGGAATCCAATACCTCAGCAGAGCGTAAATGGCCGACTATTGGGATATGTAGTCGAGTACCAAGAGTACCCCTATCGTTGGTATAACACGAGACGACGAGTCAACGCTAGTGGCCCAGACGTCCATATGCTGGTGTTGAGTGGCTTGAAAGCAGCACACTCCTACAGAGTGTGGGTGGAGGGGTTCACACGCTTGGGAACTGGACCTAAGTCATCTCCATATCACGTCACAACTGGTAAATTGACCAAATCGACGTGACCTTCGTGACGTCAGAAAGTTTAAAACTGAATTAGTACCACAAGCCGCAGTCGATTAGTTCCATAGCCTGCAAAAACACGTCTCCTATTTCCTTTGTCGTTTCATTGAAGAACTTTGAACATTCTGACATTGGCTGATTTTACAATAACATTGACTGTTTTAAACTTGCATTCAGTAAACCGCGTTCAAGAAACAGAGAAAAACAGTCGAGCCAGCTTAGCCCGTCAGAAGCATAACGTTTGAGTCAAGCCCTATAGATTATAGCTCTCGAAAAATCAGCGCGCAAGAAATCTTTATACACTATATACTACCTGACTGCTAGCCTCTTTACGGAAAAATACAACATTAAGGTGTAGCATTACTATTGTTTCTGAAGAATAGGCTATAATTAACAATAATCCCCTTTCATTTACTACTAATGTAAACTGGTTCTTGCACAGGGTTAGCAAAATGGCAGTGTGTTTGGAATTATTTAAGCAGACTGAAAAGAATGAACTAACTTGAACGTACTTAATTGAACAACTGAATTGTTTTGATTTATTACCGTCAATTAGGTTGCGGAGGATACACAAATAGGTCTTTTGGCGAAATAGAGATTGGTTCCAACAGAGGCTCGAGCTATGTAACATGTACCTTTGTGACTGGTAGAGGGGACATAAAAAGGGCAGTTGCGCTTATCTGGATACAAGATCTGTATTTGTTTTATTACAGGTACTGAGTTTGAAGTGAAATTATTACCTCTGATTACAGTAGAACCTCGCTTTACGGACACCCGCTTAATACGACACCTCGTTATCACGAACAGTTTTCCTTGTCCGTAGTCCTTGTATTTTCTCCAAATTCAACCCGCCTAATATGGACACCCCGCCGACTGGAACACTTTCCCCCCCCCCGGCTAGTGTCCATACTAACGGGGTCTTACTGTACTTGACACGATTCCCAAAGATTTGCTTGACTGTACAGTATATGTTTAAGGGATCACAGATCATGTGATATTGCAATAGACCTCTTTAGCTTGTCTGTTTTGTAGGTAATGCAGGTCAGGTGATAATACTCCTAAGAACTGTTTCTTTCAAATTTCGTCTGATCCACGTGCATATGAACGCATACCGTTACATTTTCTAACATTAAGAAAATGGTAACAATTCTCCACAGAGAAATAGAGCATAAAGTTGAAAAAGTTTAGCATAAAATAAAACAGGGGGGGGGATGTAGAGAGAGGGGGGTAAGGGTCCAGAGGAGAGTTTGTCGGAACGCAAAACCAAAAGACTGAAAAAAGGGCTTGATCAAGTTACGGCATTCTATAGACCGCAAACCAAGAGACGGAGGGCTCGCAAGATCGGCTTACAGTATAAAACACTGCGTGCCTCGGTCGCCCTTCGGGCGACCGCCTTCGGTCATCCTTCGGGCGACGTTCCGTGCGCCAGCGAGGATATGGCTTGCGGTTATTGATTTTCAAAATGGCGAACAACAAAGTCGATCTGGTCAGATAAGAAGCGAAGAAATCGTTTACAGGAGATTCATTAAGATCCCATTGGGCTAATTAATCGTGCTAAGCGACAGGTATAGACATTTTTCAAGGTGAGGCTTTAAATAAGTAATTCATTTATTCACACGAAACTCCTCTGGACCCTGTGATTAGAGAGATGGGTGGTGGGCGGGGGGGGGGGGGGGGACACTTAATAGAGGATTTACGATAATTTATAAAAAGACAAAAGGGCCAAGTTCTCTTGGGACCTGTATTGGGAAAACAAAAACATTCAAGTTTAAGAAATCTATTATGAAGGCTCGCATAAATGACGCATGTTGTTCAAGTGTGGAAAACTCTACTTTTGGCTATCTCTACTACAACCCGTTATCGACCGTTATCCCATATCCCACCTGTTCTTAGTGTCTGAAATATTTCAGTTTGACGTGTCCCGCTATTGCCCTGAAAGTACATGTATCTATCGTCTAGTGAAATAGAGAGAGTTGTTCCATTGACGGAAAGTGTCCAAATTTTTCCCTGCGACTTTGCTTGCGAACGCGAGGAGAGGCTTGGTACACTGTAGAAGCGAATTCCTTTTTAATTTCTTTATTATTATTATTATTATTATTATTATGACATTTTTATTTTTATTTTTAGTGAATATGTCAAAATAACTGACGGAAATGGATCACTGGTTTGGCAGTACGGATATCCTTATTCGCCTGTTCTCCCATATTTAGTTAGGGCTGGGTTTGGAAATGCTGATAACATAACTGTTCAGATCTATTTAGGAAACAGCAACAGTCGCTTCAAGCTTCAATACGGAATTATGAAGCAAGGTCTTTTCTCAGGTTAGAATCCTTGCATAGTGCCTATTAAACTACTCATTTAGTTTGATGAAGCTCACGAATATATTTTTAATTTCATACATTAGAATTCTAGATAGGCAGCTAAACCTAGCTGAGATGTTTCCTGGTGTTGGCTCGCTTTTATGTTGTTGTGTGGGTATTGTTTAGTGTCTTTTATATTTTTTCAATACGTCATTTGGTGATTGTTCCCTTCGGCAACACCAAGAAACCTAATGGTCACAATTTGCGTTTGTCGCCTTTTCTGTACTTATTTTCACTTAAATTTACTGGTCTAGTTGCACTGATTCGAACAGACGTTGCATAGCCTCCAACAGAACCTAAGAAAAGCCTAGTACTATTCTTCGGAAAGGCTCTCTGTTTTCGTTGTTATTCAATCTTGTTTATATCTTAGCTCTACCTCTCGAATGGAATGTCGCCGTTGGCAACACCTCGAGAACTTCGATGACAGTTCACTGGGAGAATTTAGCCTCACTTATCGATAATACCGTACTCTATTATATCGCAACCGCCCACCATGGTAACCTATCAAGAGCTGCAGTCGTTTCAGGAGATTTATACAGTGCAAATGTTCTGGGGTTGTTAACTTACACTGAATATCAAGTAAACGTCTTTGGAATAGACAGCCATGGTCAACCCCACAGCAGCTCGAACGTCACAGCCCTGACAGAGGAAGGAGGCAAGTTTTTTTTTTCTTTTTGATGGAATACGAATCGGCATGCTGGAGTATATGTCAAATATAGGAAAAAAAAATGACTAAAAGAAAACAAACATTCAAGCAAAAGTAAATTCATTCCTAAGGTACCAAAACCACCAAAAGTCGCCACGGAATAATTACACTATGCAAATATCATCGAATAAATACGAAAGTTAATAAAGTGTCCATTCATTAATCAGTTATTACGGTAATATATAATTATCGTCACTAAATCAGTTTGGGCATCGCCGAAAGAGTTCACCTATTTTTACTATAATCAATCGCCTTTTTTTGTTTTTAGTTCCCAGCAGGGTACCGTCTAATGTAAGAGTGTCTAATGCACGGTATGATCAAATTAAAGTGCAGTGGGATCCTCTCCCTCATCAATTTGCTAATGGACGTCTTCGTGGATACGCTATCTACTACCAGGAGTATTATTACTGGTACTTGAGAAAATCTGTGGTTCGCACCAGTAATCCGTATGCTAACATGGTGATATTGAGACGTCTCAAGGCAGCAACTCAATATCAAATAGCCGTAGCAGCCTTTACGTCTAAATGCGCTGGAACCCAGTCCAATTGGCAGTACATAACAACAGGTATTTTTTCTTCCCATAAATTATATGCTAGCAAATTTTTGGTCATTTATAAAATTTTGACTAGCGTTTTTGCCCCCTTCACAAAGGAGTCTTCCTCATTCTTCATTCTCAACCTCATCAATTAATTGTGAAATTGTTTAATTGTCATTTCTTTTTATCGTAACAACTGAAGAACAAAAACGCGTACACATTACTGCACTATTTTCAAGTGTCTCAGTTTTCATCGGTTTATTTGTAATTGTAGGAACAGAGGAACACATGAATTATATGTGTTTCTTAAACTAACTTTCGTCGCCAATGATAAAGCAGCATTATGTATCCACATTATGTAATAACAGGAGACATTGCTCGTTTGATTTGCAGGTTGTGAAGGAAGCTTGAGTGAATTGTTTGGAAACTTGCAAGTCGGCCGAAGATCGTCCTATTCTTCTAAGCAGCAATGCAATTGGACAATTGGAAATGCAGGGATTAGCCAAGCTGTTGCACTTATATCATTACCGGAGCTGTCTCTGTCTTCTTACAAGTTAGTGCGATATTTTTAAAGATTGTCACTTGAAAGTTAAAGCAAAACAAAGTCACCTGTGCGAATTTGTCAAGAAAATCCTGGGATTTCCCGAGCATTTGCGAGAATCATATTCCCGGAAAATTCTTTCGCGTTAATTTGCACCAAAATCCTGAGAATTCTCGCGATTATATTGGACGAGAAACAGGCTAAAAATTCTTGGGGATTCCTGACAATAAAATGGTTTCCTTTTTGATCCTGGAAATTCTCGACAATTCCTGGGAACAGGAACATTGACAAGTTCCCGAGAATTCTCAGGAATGTCAGAGATTAATTTAACCGTGCATCTACATAACTTTTCAAAGAACTAACACAGTTTAATTCCAGCAATAAAGCTGTGAAGGGTGCAAGGTTTGAATTAAACTTTTGCTATTTGTAAACGTGAATTTAAATTCGATATAGGGTAAAATGAAATAAGACGCGAATGACGCGCAACGTGACAACACCAACTCAGTTGTCTGTCTTTGAAATACAATGTATTAACCCAAATTTCAAGCGAATGCTTTAAGCATTTCAGCAGTTACAAATTAAATATACTAAAAGAAGGGATGTTTAGTGCCCTACTTACAATTTATTGGACACAAATTAAACCTCACAGCTGACGCTATAAGGTCATGTATCCTGTAACTACTTGCCCTTCGATTTTCAGATCCCTTTTGCTTAACGCTGTTTGAAGTTATCCCACTCAATAACGATCCAAGTCATTTTGTTTCGGGTTAAAAACATAATCTACTTGTCCAGACAGTCCGCAGAGGTGATACATATACTTTTTTTTTTTTTTTTTTTTTTTTTTTGCCCTCGCAGGGATTTGGCCCAGAAGGCAAAATCCCGAGGAGGCACTCTAGTAACTCGCGCGTATAAGTGCTTACAGTTGATACAGTCAGGTTTGCTGGAAAAAAAAAATCTATTTGCTTGAACAGGGTCACGAAGAATCGGTAGGTAATGATGACGTCTATTGTTTGCGATCGCAAGTACGGGGTGGTTAGGATGACGTAAAACAGAAATTTCCGAAGGGACTGCTAAGGTAGATTTTGTTGTACAGTCATACTTGGTTACTCTTTACATGTAGCGTTATTTTTTATCAGTGATCGACACTCGGTGGAGCAGGCTCACGTTTTTTAAATTTATGGACCAAAAAACACTCGTTAAGCGCAGATGAAGTTATAAGGCGCGTAAAAATGTGTATACATAAACACTTCGAGAGCTTTCCAGACACGAGTTCACAGATCCTCGATTGGAAAAAATTTGCCAGACACTCTTTCTCTCTCTTCGGATGAATGAGACTCGGTCCCAAATAAGAAAGATGAGTGAATGAACGGCTAGCTTATCACTAGCAAAACGATGGACGATTACAGAAATGTGCCGACCATCAAATTCTGTGCTGACTTATTCCCTGCTCACAAATGTCCTTCTACATTTTTTAGAAAAGGACTAACGCGCGAGCGTGAATTGATCAAACCTTTTAACTTTTTTACTTTCCGGCAAATAAAATGAACTGTGTGTAAAAAGTGAAAGAGAAATAGTGAAAAATTCCAACTTCTAATTAAATCTCTTCTTATGGTTGAGAATAAAATATTTTCGAAACGGAGAAGGTTTCAGATCAAACCTTGCGTTTCCTGTTTTTACTCTCACCTATTGCATGGAATTCCTCGTCCCCAGGTCTTCTCGGTTAAAGGTGCCTTAACCTGCAACTTTACTGCACTTTTGACGACATCAGTTGATTTAATCGTAAAGTTCTTCCAAAGTTGGTCAACAGTAGCTGGTTATGGCGAGTTATGCGTGTGCTTTTAGCCATTCAGAAACGGAGAAATATTTTGAATGAATAATAATGACAGATAAATAACTAAATTTCTTGAATTTGTGTATATGTCTGTTTGTTTTTTTTTTTTTTTGAAAAGCCCATAAGTTAATCCTTAAAAGCAATTCGCATAACACCAAATGGATCGTGGATCCGTTCACGCAAATTAAATCGACTGAGCACATCATTGGCAAAATACCACACAAAATCAATTTCAAATCGGGGCACATCTTGTGGTTTTTCTTTCACGCCGATGTCAAAATGTAGAAAACGTCAATGAAACCTTTATAAATACAAAAATTCGCTTTTGAAAACATACTTTCCTAGAGTTCAGAATGTACCTGAAGTTTCTTCATAAACCTCGCTGCCTTGGTTGGTTCAAAACAAGCCAAGCGCTCCGCCATGAAGAAAACAATGTTGACTTCCTCGAAAGACAATTTAATTACGAAAAGTTTCCCACAAAAAAGACACTGAGCATTCTTTTCAGCTTTCTCTTTCCATTGGTCTTAAAAATTACCGCAGGATGAACACGAACCAGCCATTTTTTTAATGGTGTTAATTTTGTTTTCTAAGTTGTCAAATCCGTTTCTTCCCCTACCCCTTAAGGGTTGATTTCTACTGTCGCGTAATTTTGACGAGCGTACGTGCGTAAAATTTGCGTTCGCAAATAAAATAGAGGCAATGTATGAAAGATCGCACGTAAGCGTAAAAGTACAACCTAGCTCAACTCCACATTTAATCTCAACATTTTATATCTTGCCTCTATTTCATTTACGCGATTAAAATTTAAAATTTAACAGTATCAAAGTATCAAAATAAATAATGGCAAGTGTCACATGAAACAACACCACTGCAACTTTTTGTCTCAAGCATTGAGACGATTAAACCAAAGTTCCAGGGCAGAATATAATGTTTAAAGAGATCGCCCGGGCTCCAACGTTGCAAGTTTAGGAAATCGAGCTCTTCGCCAGACTTCAAAACTCACAGCCGCCCTTTTGTTTTTATATCGGGTAGACTTTATAGCGCTGGCCGCACAAATTTCTTCTTCTTCACAAGTTTTAGGACTTTTAAATCTGTACTCTGACATCTGCATTGCGAAGCAACGTGTTTGCTCCGAAGTCACAAACAGTTAAGTAACGACGTGGTATTTAATGCAAATGAAATAATATCACACACCAGCAAGCAATAAGCAGGGGACAAGTTCCCGTTTCACGTCTCAAATAAATTGTGTTTCAAAGCAGAAAACTTATTTAAATGATAATTTCTAATAATTTTCTTTGTTAGAGAAGTACTCTCATGCCAAGCTAACTTCTCAATCAATAATTGTCCCCTCAGGGATTTCGGAAAGAGACGAAATCCCGAGGAGGCACCCTAGTAACTCGCGCGTATATTAAGGACAGTACTTAAGGACAGTACAGTTCAAATATACAGTCAGTATACTAGACTCGATTTGTTGGAACTGGGGCCGCGAGGAATCGGTAGGTAATGATGACGTTTCTATCGTTTGCGCCCGCAAGTACGAAATGGTTAGGATGACGTAAAGACAGAAAATCCCGAAGGGACCGCTCAGGTAGATTTTGTGACATTTATTGTGCAGTCATACTTCGATACTATTTTGCGTTACGCGGGGACATTCTGTGGAGCAGTTGTTTTGAAAGTGATGGACCAAAAGACAATCGTTAAGCGCAGGGGAGGTTATAAGGTGCGTTTAACTCTGTAGATATATAAACACTTGGAGAGTTTGCCAGACTCGAGTTCACAAATATTTGATGTATATTGGAAACCTTGCCAGACACCCTCTCTCTCTCTTTGACCGGAATAAGACTCAGCCCCAAACAAGCAAGACGAGTGAACAACGGCTAGCTTATCACTGCTGACTTATTCCCTGCTTACAGATGTCCTTCCGTTATTAAGTTTCAAATAAGACTAGAATGCGCTAGCGTGAATAGATCAAACGTCCTTTTAATTTCTAAGGCTTACTTTCCGGCAAATAAAATGAACTGAATGTAAAAAGGGAAAGAGAAATAGCGAAAAGTTCAACTTCTAATTAAATCTTTTCTTATGGTATAGAATAAACTATTCTCGCAACTGAGAATGTTTTGATCAAAGCTGTGTAAATCGAGCTGAAACTGTGTATGGAACCTTGCGTTTCCTGTATTTATCTCACCTATTGTATGGAATATGTGTGAACAAACATTATGAATCAGTATATTTCAAAGAGCTACACAACCTGCAAGAATACTATTGACCGACAATATACAGAGCGGGTCAGCTGTAGTGTCAACTATTACTAGTAAAGAAAATGGCAGCAATCAAATAGAGGGTTCATACAAAAAATGCAACCATTTTTAAAGTACTATTTCAGAAACGAGTGCTTTTTTGATCAGATTTCCAATTGCTCAAAAACAATAATGGTTTCAAATGTTTTCTCGCGAGTGGAAACCTGGTGAAACCCTCGCACCCGTTTAGAAATAATTCTTGAAAAATGGTGGCAGTGTTTTTGTATGAAGCCTATTTTTGATTACTGCTATTTCCTTTTTTATTGACTGGTAAATTGACTTTGCTGATAGCCTAGCATTATAGCCATGTTTAGAAGATATGCGTGTAAAAAAAACAACAAAAACAAACAAAATGAAGTAAAGGCTACTTCCAATTTCCGAAAACTGTCGCTTTCAAAACGAAGCTAAGTGCAGATTCTTTCTTGTGAAAATGCGGTCTGTTTGCATAAGATTAAATTAAAATCATTTCGTTTCAATAGCGTCGCACTTTGCCTCGCTTTGAAGCAGAGGCTTGGGGCAATTCGGAAATGACCTATTGGGATAACATCGAGTGAAGTCAGATTGTTTCTTTCAGTAAAATTACATGAAGAACAACTTAAGTCCAACTTTGCTGTGTAATATAAAAGTGAAATAGAAAAACTCCAGTGTGATACTTTGAGCCCGGGTCACTTGCTTTACAGCTTACATCCATATCCATTACACCATTTTTAAAATATACATGTTCTTATATATGCCGTACCCCATTACAATATTTGAAAGCTAACCGTTTTCACTTCAGTGCTTAACCGTAATCACTGTCAGTAGATCAGTGCTTAACTCTCTACTGTGTTCTCTCCATAACTGGCGCTCTGTAGTTTTGGTGTTTTCAGCTATTATAGCCTCATTCTACATTCAAGTCTCGTTCCATTATTAAAATAATGCATTGTGTAAACTTCATAACGTGTCCAATCTGGCTTCACTCGATGTTATCTAATGCTAACCTTGTACAAATGTCGCATTGAACACCGCAGAAACGTGATTGCATAATCCGTGTTAATTACATACGCAGTTCGACGATTTATAGCCTGCGAGCAGGCTGACTTGTGCTAGTTCGGAGCAAAAACGTCTCCCAAACTCGAGCAAGTGAGCCGGCTCGCAGGCTAGCCGATTTACTAATCCAAATTGGACACATAAGTTTATTAATTGGAAGTATCAGTCTTGATTTTGTTTAATTTGTTTCGTTTCTTTTTCACAGCGACTACATCAAGGTAATTGATGGTAACGGTGTCACGGTTCTAAGTCGCTATGGATACTCGTCTGTCGCTCAAAAAACGTTCACGGAAGTTTCTTTTGGAAATTTTGGTAACATCACTGTCCAGATCTACTTAAGAGACAGTTCTAGTACCTTCAAGTTACAATTTGGAATTTTAAAACAAGGGCCAGGTTAGCCTTTTTATCTATTAAATTCATTTAATGTTGCCTCAAACCCTGCTACGCTAACATTTCTGATTGGTTGAAAATTTCTCTCAAACAATCAGGAATACTGCCCAGTTCTCGGTAGTGGCAAGTCATCAGTGCGTAATTTCTGCGTACGATGCTCAGACGGCATTTTGCGGGAAAACTTCGAACCCCATTTCTTTTTCCTTCCCCACTCCACATGAATAACAGCGTGTTGTTTTTTTCAAGTTCGGTGTTACAAAACTGCCATGCCCAACTGCTATATAAGTCACAGGTTTAGCGCGGAAATCACCGGGGAAACTTTGCTCCCCATCGCTTTTTCAGTGCCCGTTCCCCATAAATAACAGCTAGTCTTTTTAAAGTTCGGTTTTACAAAACCGTCATATAAGCCACTGTTTTTTTTGTAATTTGCCCTTTCCTGTTTGTTTTTAGCACCTTCACCTGCTAACTGGAGTGTTTCCATTGACAACACTACTCTAAGAAGCATCCGATTCTCCTGGCAAAACCTGCAAACAGTTGTTGATAAACAAATTAGTCATTACTTTATTGTGCTCAAAGACTCATCTGGTAGTAGTGTAAACGATTACATCGTCCTAGGAAATACTACCTCCCATTTGTTCTCTGGACTGATGGTGTATAGGAAGTATTGGTTATCTGCTGTCGGTGTAAATTACAGTGGGAATGCTTACAACAGCACAGAAATCTCAGCATGGACAGACGAATGGGGTACGTGCATACAAATGTTCTTTTATTCATTTATTTTATTCCCAGTACTAACGAATGCTTAGCACTGTAAACTCCGTACTAGCTATTATATTTTTATACTGCGGTCGTCTTTAAGGTAATTCCCTTCTTTTGCACTGCGCACCCTCTACCGCGCATAACATTGCGACATCCAAGATGGCGGTGGTTCTTCCCGCTAGGACGAAGAGAACGAATAAGGGTCGCTTTTGCAAAGCTAAAGCTTTTATTCGCAATAATAATGCCGAAATAATATTCGCAATAATAATACGGCTCTCCAACTGCATTAACGAGACAGTGACTGGCCTTGATTGCTACTTTACATATGTTGTTCAAACTCCGAGTGTGGAGAGACGAATATTTGTCGAACAAATATTAAGACCCACCGTAGCACCGGAACCACGCGAGGGAGAACAATCTTTGATGTCAACACGACGTTTGCTGCTGAATTCACATCTTGCTGTGTATAGAAACCAAACAAGAGAACGTATTAAGAATAGGAACCAATAGCCTTCAAGTTTCTTTGTCAAGCATTGTTGCGCAAAAAAAAAAAAAAAAAAGAACCCTAGCTCACTGGAACACAGAACGCCAGCGCTACAAAACGGTCCAAACTAAAAAAATTCACAACTCCAAAATCTCATCAAATCTTGACTTATGTAATTGCTTGGTATTTGTTGTACTCTTTCCAAGTATGAATGTCTGTTTTGGTGATAACAAACACATAAACACAACCGAAAACTGGCTTGATCTGGAGTGTATACTTCGAACACGGTAGGCGCTGTTTTGTATTTCGTCCCAGTGCCTGCCGTGCAAATTCGAATCTCAAAACCGTGTTTACCTTTCACTGCAGTTTGTGAGGAAACAATCACGGTGACCCCCGGAGTTTTTATTTATTTATTTATTTTTTTCAGGTATTTGCTAAGAACATTCTACTGAAGAACATATAATAAACAAACAAGTTTGATAGCAGAACATGATTTTTTGGGGAAAATAGCTCCGTATTAGTGTATTTGTAACTGTCCGAAAAAGTGCAACATCCCCACAACCAGGCAAGCAAAAACGGCTTAAATGAAGCAATACTGCTTATTTGAATGAAATAGGCTTTATTTTCAGGATAAAATTTTGTGTGTTTCAAGTAACAAAGACTTAATTCTGTATGAAGGTGATTCGAATTTATAACGCGCAAACAGTAAAAATACCCCAGTTTAAGAGCCTTCCGACGCGTAAACAAGCATGGTGACCCCATCTTTTTATTGTTTGTTTTTTTTTTAATGTTTGTATAATGAATGTTGATTATGCCAAATTTCAAAAAAAGTTTGATAGCAGAACAGTTTCAAGGGAATTGAATTAAATTTAGCTGTGTCATTTTGGACTAAAGGGCACACAATGGTTGCGCGTTGCTTTCTTAATTTTGCATGGGCAACATTCTCCCTTTTTTCCAATAATATTTCAATAAACAAGATACGATTTTCAACCTAGAGCAGACTTAATTCTGCATGGGCAACACTGCCCCTATATTTAAATACTATTGTTTTTTCTTAGTTCCCAGCAGAGCTCCATCATTTATCCGACTTTCAAACTTACATTTGACTGATTTGAAAGTACATTGGAATCCACTCTCTGAGCAGTACACTAACGGACGTCTCCTTGGATACAGAGTCTACTATAGGGAATACACCCCTAGATATAATGATTATTACGACCCGTATTTGGGTAAGAGTGTTAACACTAGCAGTGCTAATGTTACTGTGGTGATATTGAGGGACCTGAGACAGCTCACAGCTTACCGAATAGCCGTAGCAGCCTTTACTTCAAAAGGCCAAGGACTACTCTCGTCCTGGCATTTAATAACAACAGGTAATGCATTTTTTTGTAGCCGATACTATTTGATACAAATCATTTCTGTTTCATTAAAGCGAACCCCTATTTGCGGTCACCCTCTATTAAGCGGTTAGCTACCAAAGTCCCGGAAATAATTTCAATGAATTACTGTAAACCTGACCAGACCAGAATTAAGCGGTCCACCGTTAGCGCTCACCTTTTCCGAGGTCCAACGTATTATATCATTATTACTATTATTATTATTATTATTATTATTATTATTATTATTAATTTTTTTTATGAGTACAGTCGACTTCCGGTAACTTGAACCCTCTATAACTCGAGCCTCCCGCTAACTCGAAGCAATTTTCATTCCCCTTCAGATCATTTTCTATATAATTTTACCCTCGATAACTGGAACTCCCGATGATTCGACCTTTTTTTCTATTTCCCTTGAAGGTTCGAATTATCGAGAGTCGACTGTATTATCTTGCTAATATAGCTTTGAATTTGGAGCCACGCTTTAATTCGGGAGTGAATCTCACAATATACCTAAAACTTGTTCTCCAGAAGTAGCCCGCATGAAGTGCGTTGTAATCATTTTGAGGTTTGAACAGTGTTCATGTACATATGTAATTTGCTGCTGTGCTTGCATAAACAAACACGCGGTGCGTACAATGCTTAGCTAGTCCATACATGTAAAGCCAGGGAGCAGAAGGATAAATAAAAATAGCCATAAAATGCAGAAAATGTGCTGCGTGGTTTAGGTTTATGACGACCCATATACCGCGATGTTTGAACGGCGAAAACATTAAAGGATAAATGAGCAACAACTTGATTGTTAAATATATATATATATATCTTTTCTGTTAGTAAATTTCTTTTCTTGTTAAAGAACATTACGATGCGCAAATGTTTGATTATCGTTCTAAAAGATTGTTATTTTCACGAAGTTGAAACTGTATTGGCATTAATGAATGTTTTTGCATATGTAAAGTGCTTTAATGGTCATATAAATCTTATACAGATTTAGCCAGGGGTAAAAACGAAGCTCTCTTTAATATCATTTTATAGTTTCCTCAAACAAAATATAAAATCGTGTAATGCTATAGAAACGGTGAAGACAACCAGAATGATAGAAACAACAACAACAACAACAACAATAGGTCCAATTAGCAAAAAAAAAAAAAAAAGACTTTGCAAGTGCAACAATTGGTTTCATTGGACCAGATTTTTGTAAATTTTACGACTACCACATGAAACCCTTTTTTTTTTTACTGCCGCTTATTTTCAACTTGGTGTCCTATAAAACTTTCATGCTTTTTTTTTTCCATTTAAATTCGTCTGCCGTAGTTTCTTATTTCTGGCTCTAGCTCTTTCTTTCTTTCTTTCTTTCCTATTTTTTTAATTAATTTTATTCCACGTTACAGTGCCGTAGCCAGACCAAACGGCCAACCGAGGCAGGCGGGAGTTGCTAGGGGGGTTCGGGGGCATGCCCACACCCCCCGAGAAATTTTGAACTTTACTCTCGGAAATGCGATTTGCAGCGTTTTGGGCCTTTCGGTAACTTTTTTTCAAGTTAATTTAACCCTATTCAGACTGGGCTTTTTTTGTCAATCTGTGACTGGGGGGCTCCCGGACCCCCATCTGTATCTCTGGAACCAATAACGCCAGGGTCATGAAATTTTTACACAATGATCATCTCCGTACAAAGAAGCCCCACACCCAGTTTTGACTTGCCATGCCCAATGATGACGTCACAGTGACGTCATATTCCTCTTTTTCAATGTTTCTTATTATTTTCCACTTAGATACGTAAAATATCAATAATATTGGCAAAAGTCATCTCTTTAATATCCTTTCTTATGAACTAACAAGGAAACACTTGTACGAGAAAAAGCAATAGGAAGCAATAAAATTTAAAATTTTGAAATGGCTGTCCGCCATCTTGCATCCGCCATCTTGATTTCCGTTTTTTGTTAAAATTATAATTTAGTAACTTTCAAAGGGAAAAAGCTCAGAATGCATAAAAAAGAAGTATCAAACTAATGTTTATTACCCAAACAATGACTTTGGAAGTATTATTTGAAAAATAGAGCATATTTGTCAAAGCAAAAAGTGAAAAATTTTACCCACCCTCCCCCAAATATTCGATGTTGAAACGTTTTGATGTAAATCAAAAAACTAGTACCAAGCAAAAGACCATTTTAAAGCAAAAAGCAATATAAGTGTTGGATCTTAAAACAAAAAAAATCACCATTTTTAAATTTTCCAAACCTATCATGTCAGAAACTGGTTGCCATGGCAACGGCGGTTAATGACATGGACATGGTAATTATATCAAAATGTTCCTAGATAAAATTTTAGGAAAAAGTCAGAAAATTTGAACGTCATAGCTCTTTCGGTGTAGGAGTTATCACGATTTTTGCCGGAGGGGTTCAACCCCCCCAGTCTGAATAGGGTTAAGTGGAATTTAAAAAGCAATAATCAGAAACAAGCTACATAATCTGGGTGACCGTTAACCTCGCCAATGGTTTTGATCAGTATTTGTTCAAAAAAAATTTGAGTTAACGTACGCAGCCCCTTGAGATCGATGATATGGTAATTTTCATAGTATATTGACTGGAATTGCTGGGTCCTTTGTAATATCATGATGCGTTAAAAATATCCGATGATCGCTTATGTAAAATAAAAATGATCGGCGAAATTCGTCAAAATTTTACCGAGGCGAGTGCCTCGGTTGGTCTCATACTAGCTACGGCGCTGCGTTAATGTAGACATAAAAAATTTAGTCGAAAAAAAGACTCGGCGTTGTTGTTGTTGTTGTTGTTGTTTTCCGGGTGGCCATGCGATTTCCCGCCGAAATGCAAAATTTTACTGCAGCTTAAATGAAGCGGGGGACGTACGTAGGGACGAAGGATATGATTTTGTCAGAACCAACAATTTCTTGGATGCATAGATAACCAGATTTTCTTACCCATTGTGCTCCGCTGCGCGCGCTAGAGCTTTGCTATTAAAACGATTGTTCATTTTTTTTAGAATGATTACACATTCGTTTTAACGACTAAACGTGTTACGCTTAGCCTATTGAAAATTTATATCCTGGTAATGAAAGACAAACGGTGTAATGATATTATAATCATATCTAAGGAATAGCATTATACATGCAAAAACTAACACGCGAAACATGTTCTACGACAACAAGATAAATATGGAAAATTTGCAGCTTATTTAATTTTGACCGCACATTTTATTGACCAGGGCACAAAGAAAAGAAAGAAAGAAAAAAGCGGGTAATTTTTTCATTGATTTATACCGCCTATAATTCACGTCAGCTTTCCTACCACAAGAAGTGATGAATGCAAAGTACGTAAGGAATCCAGGAAAATGAGTTAAAGATATAAAGGTATAAGTGATAAAGAAAGGAAATAAAGAAAGAAAAAATAAGAAAACAAAGCAAAACAAAAAATAAAGGAAGGTTGTCGTATAGAGATACTGTTTGATCTTCAGTATAACATGAATAGATAAATTGTTTGATTTGTAGGTTGCGGAGGGGTCCTGAATGAGTTGTTTGGAAACTTGCAAGTCCTGAAGAGATCATCATATTTGTATAGTAGTTCCTCTTACTTGCGATGTAACTGGAAGATTCAAAATGCAGGGATAAGTCAAGCTGTTGCTCTTGTGTCCTTGTCGGAGCTGCATCTGTCTTATGACAGGTGAGTGTGCTGCGTTTATAAAAGAATACAAATAAAAGCTTAACTTTAGTTTGTTTGTTTGTTTTTCTCTTTCTTTCATTATTTTGTACTTTCACTTCTTTTTGTAGACATCATGATCTTTAAGACGAATTTTCGGTTGGTTCTCTCTAAGAACGCAATTTGTATAAAGCAACCGATTAACAGAACAGTTCAACGTATCCTTCGCCTTCTCACACCGAAATTCCTGTCTTTTTCACAGTGATTACGTTAAGGTAATTGATGGCAACGGTACCCTGATTCTCAGTAGCTACGGATACTCGTCTGTCACACAGAAAACGTTCATGGAAGTCTCTTTTGGGAATTCTGAAAACATCACTGTCCAGATCTACCTAAGAGAAAGCTACTTCAAGTTGCAATTTGGAATTTTGAAACAAGGATCAGGTTAGCCTTTAATCCCCTGATATATCTGTGTGATTTTGCTAAAAGGTGCCCGCTAAGTTTTCGCTTGAACACGGGCATCGCCCGTGTTCAAGCCAGTGTAGCCGGGAAAAAGACCTATCTGTGGGTAGGTGGCTTCCTTGTTTTTTTGTGAAAACCAGGGGGTAGGGAGGGGAGATTTTGTCACTGGTTAGAGTTTTATGTCAGAAAGCAGTGCAAAGTCGGAGAATTTTTCCTGTGGCCTAGGCCAGCCAAATCAATGCGATGACTGATAATCATAACACTACTGGCAGAGTTTGGGGGAAGTGATTGACTAGTCATAAGCTTTATGGGTGGGGAGGGTGAGTAATGGATCCTTGGAGTTGACCGTCTAGAGACTCAGTACAGGCACCTTGTATGAAATCCAGACAGATATATATAAATAATTATATATAATAACTCTGAGTTACAATTCTGTTAATTTCAATCCTTTGAATTTGCATTTGTATTACGCTCTGCATACTTTTTATGCATCGAGAACTCCTAGGATAAGTAGACCTATATGAGTAGATATATATAACTGACTGGATCTGCTAAAACATTACTATAGAAATTGCTCTCAAACACCTTTACCGAGTCTTGTAGTTGAGCATTTTTTTTCATTGTTATTTTTTATCTATTTATGTTTTACCTAATGTTTACTGAATATGCTGCAGTATATAGACTATCATGAGTTTCTCAGTGACTGTTAACCTACCCCCTCCCCGCTCCAAAAAATATGCTTCCCATAATTCTCTCTGTATGTCAGCTGGAAATCAGCGCGTATTAGACGGAGCAGGGCTTTCGTAGTTGGTTGTCGTCTCAGGGTTTTTTTATGCTGCTTTTAACAAAGTTTTCCGGAAGGCATCATTAAGCCTTATGAAGGAACAAGTCTCACGATTGGCAAAGTCCGCTGCGTCCAATATCTTCTCGTATTTCGTCTCATTTAGCTACACGGGTGAGAGACTGATACTGGGCTTCAGACGAAAAGACTGGATATTGCGAGCTATTAATTTGTTGTCGCCAGTAAAAAGTCTTTAGCCTCATAAACTAAGTCCTAGCGGTCAAATCTATTCGGCGAGATCGAAATTAATGCTGACTTCTGACCAGGCCAAAGAGTTATTTAAAAAAAATGTTTGGATGGTGGGGAGCTCCATGACTCCTCTTCAAAACCGCTGGTTTACATCCGAGATCTTGAATAAATCGACTGTGTGAGAAAAGTTTCCATGCCACGATTTATATGTAGAAAGCGAGAGTTTTTTCGAGTAACTTGACGATGTTTCGCCCCTGTTAAATGTGGCAATATTATGAGTGGTTGTACAAAAAAGCGTGATGCACGTGCAGAGTTGTAGTTTTGCTCATTAAACCTATTGTGTTTTGACGTTCCCGTTGCCGTCGTCGCCGTGGTTTTGTAAGGTTCCTAATGGATTCGTGTCGAAGGAAGGCCGATTTGTGTGCGGCTTAAAAAGTATCCGGATTCGTTTAGACGGGGCCTTCAAGATTCTTATTAATAATTAGAAAGTGGTGCTTGGGGAATTTAACGGATTCTTTATAATATTAGAAACAAATAAAGAAACCTTAACTATGCTCTGTTTCGTTCTGAAGCACTAAGGAAGCGGCTAAAGTGCTCAAAAAGAGTTTCTCCCTTCACATATTACGTGCTCTTGCCGCTTCCTGTACATGCTTCAAGATGCTTCAGAATTTTTTCTTTTTGCATCTCAATGATATCGTGCAACTTCAGTTGTTATGAGGCTCTGCCAGGGTAAATTCCGACAAGCGACATGACCCAAAAAGTAGCGACAGAGCGTAAAGTGAAATCGCGACAAGAGACAACCTCTCTCGGCCAAAATGCGACAGTGACGGCAAAGCCGAGAATAAGCGACGAAGAACAGGATCGGGATGAGTTTGAAATTCAGGAAGGTGAAGACGACGATAGTTTTGTTATGGTAGACTCGAGAGTCATGCTCACGTAGTCAGGTAGAATCGTGAGAAGACCACTAGGTCTTGATTTGTATAGGCGGAGATGTAATATGATAGGTAGTTTGCAGTGTGTGCAAAACACGGCTGCTCGTATCGTTACTTTAACCAAGAAATTTGATTATATCACCCCTGTATTGATTCAACTGCATTGGTTACCTGTTCACTTTCGGATTCTTTTTAAAGTTTTATTGTTAGTTTATAAGGCGCTAAATGGTATGGCACCATTATATATCACGGAATTACTTAGTTATCGTACATGTTCACGTACGCTACGCTCTACTGATCAAAAACTTCTGGCAGTTCCGAAGTCAAGACTTAAAACATACGGAGACAGGGCATTTTCTGTTGCTGCACCTAAACTCTGGAATGAGCTGCCATTAGATCTTAGAAGTTTAGTTACAATTAATTTATTCAAGAAATACTTAAAGACTGATCTTTTTAAAAAAGCATATAATGTTTAACTTTTCGATAATTTAGAATAGGATTTATTGTGATATTTTTATAAATAAGTCTGCTAATAGGTTTTTAATTTATTCATATTTTATTACCAGTGGGATCTTTTTAATTATTTTAATATTATGAATTGTAAAGCGCTTTGGTCAATTAGTGGAGTTAACGCTATATAAATTATGTTATGTTATGTTAAGTGTTGCGAGCGAAGTGGCTTTCACTCCTTGTGCGGCGTCTTCCCAGCCCCTCTCGGTCAATTCATTTCGGTGACGTACCCGAGGCGAACGGGCGGGAAACAACATGAACGGGATATTAGAACATCGCAAGGCTTTCAATCCCCGGCTAGCATTATGATCGTCGTACCCACTATACACTTGGGTGAAGACAGAGAATGTGATCCAGACTTAAACGGACTGGTTCACGATAATGCGCATGTGTGAGTTCTGACAGTAGCTAATTGTTTTTCAACCAATCGGAAGCGAGTTAGATGCACGCAAGGAAATTTACAAAATTCAAGTTAATTGTTCGCGACGCGATTTACAGCCCTGTCCTGCTTTGAAACAAACATTTACCAACGTGTATTTTTACGAGGTCGTACCCACGCTAACAAAACAGTCACCGATCGGCAAACAAAATTTGTAAACAAACATCTTATTACTGTTCTCTCAGTTCGCCTTATATAAACCCAGAAATAACTACAAATAGCGCCTGACCGGTGACAAAAACACACAACGTATGAGTATAAAGATTATCCTTAATTGAGCATAAATTTCAATTGCTTATCAGCAAATGAACAAATTCATTCGCGTTGCATCGGGTCAGTGTTCCGTAAAACAAATGTTATCGAGTAGCACACATAAAGAAACTAGATTATAAACAGAATATTCGGGCAGTAATTTATTTTAAAAACATCAATTCTTAAACATATACTATCGTAAAGCAAAGATACAAGGAACATTTCAAGTGTACCCGATCGGTGAAGATCGCGCGGCCTGTTGCGGTATAACTACAGGTCGGAGTCAAAAATCAAATCAAAGTTGAACGAACTCATGCCTTTAACCACTTTCCAAGTGTCGTGTATTCTTTTCGTAAGCCACACACTACTCCTAGAACCATACCAGATCGATAGGCTAAGCTTCTCTATCTCCAAAGACTCTTGAGAATGTCCTGTTGCCGGATAGCCACGATGCTCTTCTTAACCTCCATGATCAAAACATTATTTTTTGCGTCTTCTTAAAACGTAACCAGTCAAACGACACAACCACACGTTAATCACCACTACCGAAGTATAACTAGACCAGCCAAAGCGACGGATGTCCGAATAAAACGCAGGATTTTCAATGATTGTACCGGTAATGGCGATTTCGAATTTGGTGTTGACCCGACAAATTTATTCCGAAGAAACAAACGGCGCGCATGCGCCTTATCGTGAACCAGTCCCTTTAAGCTTCTTGTGTAATGTAAGCAACACGACGGTGACGACGGTGGAGAGACCAGGGACCAGGTAACCTAACCGCCGACCTTCCAACTGCTCTCACAGAGAAGACCATCGTGTGTTCACGATTTATCGGGTCAGTTTGAACGTGAATCACTTAATTGTAAATGGCGATGTATAGGTGTTAGATTGGCGTAATGTTAACTGAGAAATTGCAGATTTTATGGTTTCTTTACAAAGCATCGCTTACCCCCCATTTATAAAATTCCAACAAAGACAAAGAATTTCCATTTTCGTTCAATTTACGACACCGACGTGAAGCATTTATAAACAGCGACACGATGAGCGACATATATATCCTCCCCCCCCCCCCCCCCTCCCCGCAGGGCTTCTCTTATTAGTTTCATGCATAGATTTTTCTTCGTTTTTATTTATTTATTTATTTATTTTAGCATTTTTACCTCCTAACTGGAGTGTTTCCATTGACAACACTACAACAACAAGCATCCGATTCTCCTGGCAAAACCTGCAAACACTCGTTGGTCAACGAATAAGTTATTACCCTGTAGTCGTCAAAAACTCATATGGTAATATCGTAAACGGTTACATTGTCCCAGGAAATACTACGTCCCACGTGTTCTCTGGACTAACGGCGTACAGGGAATATCGGTTATCTGTTGTTGGTGTAAATTACAGTGGGAATGCCTACAATAGCAGGGAGATCACAGCATGGACAGACGAAGGGGGTACGTGTATTACTTAAAGATGTTGTTCTATTTTCAACCTTGACGACACTTTTATCCCCAATAAATGCTTAGCACCCACAACTCTGTAGTAGGTATTAAATCTTAATACTGCAGCCATATTGATTGAGCTACGACGTTTCGGACTTCAGAACAGAAAATTGTTGGTGATTGGTTTGCTTGCGTGACAAGGGTAACAAATACAATTTTTGATCTTTTATAAACTTTGTTTTTATTAGTTCCCAGCACAGCTCCATCAAATATCCGACTTTCAAACTTAGAGGAGACTGAGGTGAAAGTACAGTGGAATCCACTCTCCCAGCATCACGCTCGTGGACGTCTCCTTGGGTACAGAGTCTACCATAGGGAATACCGCACCTCCAGATATTATTATTATTATTATTACGACCCGTATTTGGGTAAGAGTGTCAACACTAGTAGTGCCGAAGTTACTATGGTGATATTAACGGACCTAAAGGAAGCCAGAGCTTACCAAATAGCAGTCGCAGCTTTTACGTCTAAAGGCGAAGGACCACGCTCAAATTGGATGTCCATAATGACAGGTAATGCAGATTTTTTGTAGGGGACACTTACTGCGTGATATGTTTAGTTACAGCAATGACGCTCATAATAATGATAATAATAATAATAATAAAAAAAATAAAAAATAAAAAAAATAATAATAATAATAAGGAGACATCTTTATTAACGTATGACCAATTTGCATTCCACTATCATAGACTAAAATTTTATATAAAAATATTAAAAGATCTAAAACACTAATTTACAAGCTCACGCCATTATCGACTTTTTAAAATTAGCGGACACATGCTTGGCTAGCTTTTAAGCGGCAGTCGTCATATGACCAATTTACATTCCACTATTGTAGACTAAAATTTTGAGTTGTTTGGACGTCAACGTTGGTGCAAACCTTACCAATAAGTGAGGTAAGTAGGTTACTAACACCATCGTGTCTCTGCGCCACGAACCCTCCCTTTTTGCATGACAGGACATGGCAGACGGTATACTTCTCACCACAAACACACTTGCATGTTATGTCGGACACGGTCATATTATACCTTAAACCCAGAGAGTCTCGCTCTGAATTCTTTTTTATTCAGCAGTAAGCCTTGATCGACAAGAAGCACTGCAGTAAGCCATGAGCTCGCACCCTTGTCTCTCGATTGGTTAACTGACAGCAGCAGATCCGAGGGTAGAGTGGAATCAATACTTTCCATTCTCGATTTCAGTCAAGGTTTGATGTTGTCTTTTTAACTCCTCCGTGGAATTCTCGCCTGCCACCATGAACATGCTCTGTATGGTAATAGAATCTACGTGCGGTGCTGTTATTGACGTAGAAGCAGCAAACTGCTTTGGAGCTTGAAACCGTAAGTCGGGTATACCTAGTCCTCCTTGAGCGGGTGTCAAAGTAACGATCTGGATTGCTAGCAAGGGGCTCCTTTGACCGAATAGTGTTGGAAGAAGTAAGTCGTCGATCGCCTCTTGGATAGGGTCAACGTAATCTTCAATCGACTCTATTGTGCGCATGAAGTAGGTAAACTTGGTTTGTAACCCTTCGTGAAAACAGTGTAGGCTGCATGAGGCTGGCTCCTTTCTATCTCAGATAGTGCTTCGCGTTCTCCTTTCCATCTAAGAACCTCTTTCCGATAATATTGATCTTTGAACTCTTGAGATCCGATGACGGCCCCTAAGTGGCGCTGACCTTCAGTTGTAATATGGACCTCATCTCCAGACACCCTCTTTTCCTCATGATCATCTGCAAGGACATCCGACTTGACAATCAGCCAGCTCTTTGATCCATTCACTAGTTAACCATACTTCTTAATAATACTAATAGATAACACTCTTCTCAATTAATAATAGTAATAATAATAATAATAATAATAAATTTGTAAAATCTTTATTACAAAACCTCAATTAAAATCCTATTCACAATCAACCTGCTGTTACAAAAAAATCTAATGAATTCATCAAAACACTATCTACAATTCCTTCATTAGAGAACAAAAACAATCCTATATATAATAAGTGAAGAAAGAGAAAACCATTCATTTACAAATTCTAAAAAATAGAAGTAACTTAACCTTACATAAAAGAAGGGGAAATAGATATAATCAATAATAAAAGTTCAAAATTCTATAAAATTAAGAATTCCATTTTGCAGAGATATCAAGATCATACAATCGAATTATACTAATGACGGCTAAACCAGTGTCCATAAAAAGCCCTAAGTATAAAAGCATATAGTCACGTATTTCAGATATCCGCACTAGCGACATTTATTTTACAGTCTAATGATTGCTCTATCTTGCTACGAGACGGCGTTCGCGAACCTCTGACGCATGCATGTACCGATCTTAAGAGTTCAAACGAGATCTGTGTCCTGAGCCAAGTGATTACAACATGATAAGGCTCGGTGTCTTTCTGAGCTATCTTGTCTGCGAGATGCTTTAAGAACCGCTGACACTCGTTTCCCATTCCGCCATTGGTTCCAAACACTAAAGGCATAAACGAACCCATTTCTACATCTAACACCCGCTGCTGGTACTTGCGCTTCTTCTCTTTTTCTTGCTCTTTGAACACTTCCGATGTTGGCTTGCTCTGGTAACACTTGGAGTTGACGTGCGTAACTCTAACATCAAAAAATGCCGTAACTCCTCTTGCCCAGAAACCTCCCGCTTTGATGTCCAATCTTGCCTCAGAACTCGTGTCCAGGGGTTGGAGGCGTGGTTCGATTTCGACATTATTGCAGATCTTGTCGATGAATGTCGTTAACAAGTTCCGTACACCGTCATGTCTCTGCGCTACAAACCCCCTTTTACAAGAGAGGGCGTGACTAACGGTGAATTTATCCCCACATATGCAATGACTTGGTAAATCGACTAAGGGCAAGCCATAACGCAAGCGTAGCGAGTCTCTGAATTCTTGCTTGTTGAGGGCTAAACCTTTGTCTGCGAGAGGCATCGCATTCAGCCAAGAACTTGCGCCCTTGTCCCTCGATTGATTAACCAGACGCAGCAGGCCTGGGGAGAGGCTTGAATCAATGCTATCCATTTTCACTTTGGCACTTGCTCTCTTAAGTGATTGTTGATGCCTCTTTAGCTCCTCCGTAGATCTTTCTCCTGACACCATGATGGAACTCTGTGAAGTAATAGAATCTACGTGCGCGGTGGTTATTAGTCTCGAGGCAGCAAACTGCTGCGGTGCCTCGGATTTCAGATCAGGAATTCCTAGACCCCCTTGACCTGTTGCTAGGGTAGCAAGTCTGCGCACCTCGTTAGGGAGAGGCTCTGATTGACCGAACAAAGTTGGGAGTAGTAAATCTTCAATCACTTCCTGGATTGGATCGACATAAACTTCAAACGATTCAATCGTGCGCACGAAGTAGGTGAACTTCGACTTGTAGCCTTTTGTGAAAGCAATATACGCCGCATGGGGCTGGCTCTTCGCTATTTCAGAGAGACGTTCGATTTCCTCTCTCCATGCACGAACCTTCTCCTCACAATACTGATCTTTGTATTCTTGCGACGCAATAACTGCTCTCAGATGGCGCTGACCTTCAGTCGTTATGTTGACTTCCTCTCCAAACACCCTCTTTGCTTCCTCCGCGAGTTCCCTAGACTTCACAATAAGCCAGCTCTTTGTCCCATTCACAAGGTAACCAAACTTTTGACCTTCCTTACGCAATTGCCTGTACCAGTTGTATAACTGCACTATACTCCCTGCTCCAGCTGAGTCGTCTGCAAGCCACACCTGTTTAACCAATGGGCAATGATCCCTCAAATTCTGTATCATTATGGATGTATTAAGTGCGTACCATGGCATCGCTAGCGGATCTCCTTGTGTGGTGCCTTCTCGAGAAAGTATTTCACCTCCCCCACAAATAAACAGTCTAGATGGGCTTCTGTATGTGTTAATGACATAGAGCGCCATTTCTTTGCACATGATCTGGATATTGTGTAAGGCGGCTGACCTATTCATTTGGTTAAAAGCGTTACTAGCATCAATTAGCAATATTCCATCTGTTCCTTCTTCATAATAATAATAATAATAATAATAATAATAATAATAATAATAATAATAATAATAATAATAATATTAATAATGATGATGACGATGACGACGATGATGATTATAATGATAATTGTAATGATAATGATAAAAATAATCATAATCATAGTACGCCCACCCCTTTATGTAAGCTGGGATACAATTTCGCATTTCAAACACTCCGCTCGTTATGGCCGTTAATCGCATGGCGCCAGGACAACGTCAACAACCAAGCCGAGTACTTCTTTCCACAACATTTTAGTATCCGCATTAACGTGAAAAGCAGAGAAAGAGCTAGAGCGAGAAATACAAATTAAAAGAAAAAGTGGCAACGGAGACCAATTTCGTTGGAAGAAAACATGAAAATTTTATAGCGGCGGTGAGAAAATAAGAACTGCTAGCGGCCACCAAGGTGAAAATGAGCGGCAGTTAAAAAGAAAAGTGAACAGGGACACATACAACATTTCCTCCACAAAACGTCCAACTAGTAGGTAGTGTCTGGAAGTTTTTTTCAGTCGTGAAAAACAACGGCAAAGAAATTTACAAAATAGTGTTTTGCAGATGCAAAATTTTTTTAGATCTATTGTTGCTGTTTTTTACCGTTCTCGTTGTCTTCACCGTTTCTTTAGCATTATAAGAGTTTATAATTTGTTTGAGTAAACTACAAATATTAAAGAAAGCTTCGCTTTTAGTCCTGGTTAAATCTATATATTAATAATAATGATGATGATGATGAAGATGATGATGACGATGACGATGACGATGGCGATAATGCATTGTTGCCTATTACCTTCCGTACCTTATCGCTGTTTCTTAACGTACGGCATAACATTGTTTCATTTGCAGGTTGTGGAAGAGTCTTAACTGAGTTGTTTGGAAACTTGCAAGTGCGTAGTTCCTCATACTATAGTTCTATTACGCTGCGATGCAACTGGGAGATTCAAAATGCTGGAATAAGCCAAGCTGTTGCTCTTGTGTCATTGCCGGAACTGTATCTGTCTTATTACAGGTTAGTGTGCTATGTTTATGGATACTTAAAGGGACACAGTCAGCTGAAGCACTTGCGCATTACATGCTATTTCTTAGCTGATTTGCCTGTCACAAGACACTCGCGTCAAACAGAAAGTGAGAAGCGTATCCGGAATACTCAAAACAAACCTTGTAGAGTTGAACTAGTTACAAACCGAAATCGTAATTATAGACCCTAAGCCATATCAGAGCACTCATTTTTTATATACCGTTGAGAATTCACCGATGGATTTGTCCAGGGAAAGCAAAACATCGGCGAATACTTCTGAATTCCATCATCAGTAGAGGTGAGAATGACACGAAGTCTGCCTGAATCATTGTCGAAGGTTCAAGGTCGAGAGAGCTTGATTTTGCAAACATATGTAACCCTTTTCATCGATTTTCCAAACATATAATAGCGCTAAAAGCGAGGCTCCCATTAATAAATTCATAATTTAAATCAAACAATAAACTTGTATTCCACAATTCAGTTAATTTTAGAGCACAATTATGTCACTTTTGAGGGAAAGGCTAACTGATTTTGGACATGTTAGAGAAAAGTAATTTGCAAACAGCCCAAGAGTGAACCAAATCTTACGTCGAGTTGTTAGCCTCATATGTACACCCAAAAACTGGTAATCATCTTCGATCACATTTAAGAGCCATAATGGCTCTTAATCACCGTAGATTAATTAGGCCTGGAAAAAAAAATCAGGCCGAATTTTTTGCGTTGGACAAGTTTACTTTGCAAAATCTTGCCAACAAATCTTGGTGCGTGTAAACCAACCTTTTATGCCATTCATACATCACATCTGAGGTGAAACAGTACTATGAGGCACTGTTTTTATCATGAAGACCTCGGAAAGAAAGCAGTATTTCACAATTTTGCAATACAAATTGCACTCATTCAATATTAAGGACGATGGAAGTTCGCGTGGGCTTTTAGCTAAACCGTTAAAGCAAATTCCAAAATCACCTATACGGCCATCCGCTTCTCACTTTTGTAGTGCGAGCTGTGGCGAGTGTTTAAATGAACATTAACAGAGTTAAGCTCCAACATAATAAAGAATTTATTATGTTTACTTTTTTATTTTATTTTAAAATGGTTTAATTCGCGGCATTTTGAGTACTCCTGCAAACGATATTCACTGAACGACTAAAAACAATAGGCACAGCGATTAAAATTACAAGAGAGACCACTAACAATCAAAAAAATAAATATAATTAGGTGAAACATATACAGAGACAACAATTTTCATTCAGGGAGACAAGTATTAAAGTGCCTCTAAAAATCCTGAGTCTTCAAGCTTAAAGCGTAAGTTTATGTTTTAAGCCGATCTCCATAATTCCTCATATGATACGAAAGCCGAATTCAATAACTGTTTTATTATTCATTCAAAATAATTCCTGGTTTAAGAACATGGCTAAAATATGCTTACTTCCATCGATCCATCGATCTTAAGTTCATCTTCGATACTGCAGGTTTAGGGTTGTTCAGCTCTGCAAATATTCTCCAAACAGCAGATGTCGCCCTTCTAGTTGTCTACTTGCCGTTCTTGCCATGTTTTTAGCTATTTTTCGCCTAGTCCTTACTCTTGAAACGAGTGAAATATCCGCCATTTTTCAAGTTCACAACCAAAACAACTCATCCTCGTCCCCAGGTCTTCTCGGTTAACGGTGCATTAACCTGCAAGAATGCTGCATTTTTTACGTAATTTGCTCACTAAACCCAAAATGGTGAATTAAACGTCCGCTTTTAGCCAATCAGAATCGGGAAAATATTTTGAATGAATAATAATAATATTAAAAATAATAATAATTATCATTATTATTACTATTATTATTATTATTATTATTATTATTATTTCTTTTGATCTTCTTTTTCATTTATTAAGCATTTATAAAATGTATCCTTCACTTTTAAACAGAGATATTTTGCTCTTTTCACAGCGAGTACTTTGAGATTATCGATGGCAACGGTATCACGGTCCTCAGTAGCAACTCTTCTGTCACGCAAAAACCTTTCAAAGAAGTTTCTTTCGGGAATTATGGAATCATTACTGTCCAGACCAACCTAAGGCAGAGCTACAGTAACTTCACGTTTAAATTTGGAATTTTAAAACAAGGGCTCCAATTCGGTGAGCTTGTTTCACAGTTAGATTCATTATTTGCTAGCCTGCTAAAACATCTGTTTCTCCTCGCTCTTCGCCGCTGGGGACGTTTCGCGAGGAGGAACGTCTGCGACTCTGCGACAGAAATTCCATACTGATGACGTAAAATCTGTCCGGAATCCGGTCAGAAGCGCTGATTGGTCGACGGAGTAGTTACATTGTTTTAGCTATTGTTTACGAATGACAGACAAAAGACAAAAGGCCACAAAGGTAAAATGTAAACGCGAAGAATCTCTAACAAAACAGTCAATATTTGTGGAATATAGTCTTCTCTAGAAGAAGCATTTGAGTCTTGCTGGAGCTCGTTGGTAGATGAACACAACAGTTCACCAAAATCGACCAGAAGACACGCAAAATTGGACAAATTTATATTTGGAACCCCATGACTACCGGATTCATTACCTAAACATTGATTTGCGTCATCAGTATGGAATTTCGGTCGCTGAGTCACAGACGTTCCTCCTCGCGAAACGTCCCCAGCGGCCAAGAGGGGGGAGAAATGGATGTTTTTCGCAGGCTAATTATTTGCTAATTATTTTCATTTTTTGGCGGGGAAAACACACATCTCTATATTTCCTTGTCTGCTGCGCCAAAATAATATGATGACCCTGCCAATGCTTGGTGGCTGTACAGATTAGCATATCCACGCGGAGCTGGAAACTAATGAAGATTTTAGCATGAGGAAAAGCAAACTGATTCCTAGTTGTATAAATTGCGGTTTACTTTTTTTTTTTGGTGAACGTCGTGTTGACATTTTTTCTTGTCAACACGACATCGAAAAATTTCATGTATTTTATTCTGGTGTCCTGACTTTGCTCTTTTCATGCTTAGCTTCACCACTGGCTTACTGGAGTGTATCCATTTACTACACTAATTCAACAAGCATTCGATTTACCTGGCAAAACCTGCAAATACTCGTTAGTCAGCAAATTAGTCATTACTTTATAGACGTCAAAAACTCCTATGGAAGTAGTGTAAACAGTTACATCGTCCCAGGAAATACTACTTCCCATGTGTTATCTAGACTGTCGCCCGATACAGAGTATCGTTTACGTGTCATCGGCGTAAATTTTAGAGGGAATGCCTACAATAGTACAGAGAGAAGAGCATGGACAGATGAAGCAGGTATGTGTAGAAAAGTACTTGGACAAACCTGGAACATCTAGAGCCTTAGACTCTTAGATTAGGGGGGCGGCGGTGTCCAAACAAAATTTTCTAGTGCGTGAAGTATTTAGTTGTATTTTACGCCAGTGTATATTTGAACAGAATCGCAGGAAGGCTTGTGTTTTGACTCGGGCGCCTCAAATTCGGTGTCAAGCACGACACTCAAGTGGATACAGGAAACTACGCAAAATACAGTAAAAAGGAAAGAGGATAAGAGAGAACATCTCACCAAGTGGTGTAAATAGGCTGAATAGGACTGATAAAATACAAGCAAGTCTTGAATTTGCCCATTCATTGCATTTTTTTGTAAATGTAGTCATACTTCTTTACATTTCCTTACCGCAGGCGGGGGGGGGGGGTTACTGCACGACTTAAACTTCAGGTAAGTTGGCCAAGATTTGAAAAGGTAAGTGAACTGGAATAATGGCAATAAACTCCCTTGCTTGAGGCATTGACGGGTAGCGGAAAATATTTCTTCCGATCACAGTACTAGACCCTTTAGAGTCAACTTTTGTTAATCAAGTTTTTTGTTGTTGCTGTTGGGGTTTTTGTCCTGTTATTGTTGGTGCTGTAGCATAAATTAAAGCCTCGACAATTCCTCGATCCGCTCTGACAAAGACTTAGCAATCGCAATAAGCAACTGAACAATTTTGAAGGTGGCCAAATTATTATAACTCTGTACCTACACTATGTAGCCTAATTCAAACAAGATGGTTAATCGCAAAATAACATATAATTTGTTTGTTTTTTTTTTAGTTCCTAGCAGCGCGCCGTCAAATATCCGACTTTCAAACTTACAGTTTACTAAAATAAAAGTACAGTGGAATCCACTCTCCCAGCAGTACGCTAATGGACGCCTCCTTGGATATAGAGTCTACTTTAGGGAATACAAATGGAAATACTCCTATAATTATCACTCAGATTATGCAAAAAGTGTTAACACTAGCAGTGCTAATGTTACTATGGTGATTTTGAGGGATCTGAGACAGGCGTCACGTTACGAAATAGCAGTGTCAGCTTTTACTTCTAAAGGCAAAGGACCACGCTCGTCTTGGTATTCAATAGCCACAGGTAATACATTATTTTGTTTGTAGCGGATACAGATTCTTATGTCAGTCTCTTTTTTAGAGGGAATCATAATTTGGGCAACTCAAAATCATTTTTAAATTAATGGTTCTTAATTCTTAAAAGTACTGGATTAATTAAATCACCATCAAATCATTCATGAATAAATAGTATATGTCTCACCACAGCAATTTACGAGCAGCCTACTCAAATTTTTGCAGTACACTCAAACATCTTTTCAGTAATTGTGCTCAAATTATGAGTGATTCCTCCAAAAATGTTTTACAATTTGTATAGGATTGAATGGAGCCCAAATCAATTGTGGAATTGGGCACATTTTTGGCATCTTACTGATGAACATTTACGACTTACAGATATTTCGAGCAACAGAAATTTGCCGTCTGCCCTCTTTGAAGGAATACAATGCCTGTGATAGTCTCATTTTGACACTTTTTACAACGAACAGTATTGAGGCGTTTAAATATTCCGTGCTAACCGTTTACTCGAAGCGAGGAAAAATGGTTCACTAGAAATTCTATTTTAACATAAGAATGAAGTGTAATCTCTACTGACATACACTTTCTCAACAAAGGCCCCCCTTCTTTTTGTTTGTCTGTTTGTTTCTGCCTTTAAGTAAACAATAACCTATGAGTTTTTCTATTCACAATCACCACCTTTCATCATTAGCCTCTTATTCCAGTCTTCTGGCTGAAAGTAAACTTTGAATGGTATAGTTTTAAGTTATCAACAAATAAAACAAAACAAAAAATGAATGGATTTCTGTGCAGGTCTTTATGATACTCGTTTTAGATATCTTTGAAAAAGAAATCTGCTTCGTTCCTCCAAAAAAACTATAATAATAATAATAATAATAATAATACTGATAATAATAATGATAATAATAATGATGATGATGATGATGATGATAATGTTGTTGATGGTGATGATAATGTTGTTGATGGTGATGATGATGATGATGATGATGATGATGATGATGATGGTTATGATAATGATAATAAGGCAGTGAAAGGGGCCCTGCAGATTTTTCCTTGTATGGCCGACCAGTCCTGCCAATAATATTCCGAACATCTATTTAACTTCTTGTCTGGTTATTCCGTAGGTTGCGGAGGAAGTATAAACCAGTCATTTGGCCAGCTACAATTTGGCCGGAAAGGTTTAATTAATAACGGTTATCTGCTGTGCACCTGGCATATTGGAAATGTAGGAATCAAGCAAGCAGTCGCACTTATGTCAATACAAGAACTCTACCTGTCATATTACTAGTGAGTTAAATGAAACAATGTCTTTTCATGGGGAAATAAGATTTAAGTTTTGTCCTTTTTTGTTTGACGCCTAGCAGTTGTTTCGCAAAATTTAGAACTTGTAGAGTATAATATCAATGGCAAGGGATATGTATTACGTCTGTATGGTGCAAATGCGTTGAAAGTTGAATGGATGGACAAACGGGTGGACGGATGGACGGAGGGATGATTTGGATAATAAAATGGCTGCTTGCTAGATTGGAAAGGTGTTGGGGTGAAACGACAGCGAGAGTAGATGAGGGTAAGGATGGATAGTTGTTGAGTGCGTGGTCGGTGGTTGGATGGACATATGTATGGGGAAAAAGTTGATTGGACCTAGAGATGGGAGGAAGGAAAGAGGTAATGAAATATTAAACGTGACGGGAAAAGACAGAAGGGGCGAGGGAGGAATGGACGAAGGAAGGAAGGGAGGAGAGAGAGGGGGTTGGAGGAAGAAAAAAATGACTGGTTGCTTCAGGAGAATAAACCTAGGCCAAGGAGAGCTAAGTTACAACTATCGCTTAAAGCCAATATTTTTTTCTCTTTGTTTTACAGTGAATACGTTAAAATAATCGATGGGAGCGGTACGACTGTGTTTACTCGCTACTCAATGACTTCTCAAAAACCTTTCGCGGAAGTTTCTTTTGGAAACTCTGAGAATATCACCGTTCAAATCTATCAAGATAGAAGTAACAGTAATGTCAGGCTTCAATTCGGAATTCTACAGCAGGGATTGCAATCGGGTTAGTTTCATCCTTATAGTGTACTTGACTTTAATATTGCGAACTTTTGTATTTTGCATCTTATACAACTACCTACATAGCGGTGTTACCCAAAGAAAGTGCAAATCTTTTGGCGGTTCACAGTGTTTTGTTTGTAAAGTCATTCCATTGAAAAAGACTCACACTCCCCGACAATTTCTTAATTTGTAAAACAAAAAAAAAAAATCCGAAGAGTAACATGGAATTGTTTTATCACAGCAAAAAAATAAATAATATAATAATAAATGAATGATGAGTTTTCGAGGATATTAAGGACGGTGCCCACTAATGGGAAGTATTTTTTCCCAGATAATGACTATGTGAGACAAGTAGATCATATCGGGGCTATTGAAATCCAAAAAGAAAACTGGGGGTAACCACGCATTTTTCAGAGATAAGTGCGCTTCAATATGGAGAAAAACGCTGAATGGGCAATTTTAGGAAAAATAATAAAAAGTTATTTTTTCCCCAAATTTCAGAGTGTACACGTGAACTGGCACAAATGCAATGATAATTTAACAAAGTTTCAAAATAAGCAACAAATGATAACATAACAACTGCTCTTTATACATCTTTGTTTGAAATATCAGCACAAGTGGGAAGTTATCAGTAGTCACCCCTCTCCAAGCGTTTGCCTCAAAAATAGTGTAAACGACATTTTCCCCGAACCAAAAATTGATCGTTTGCTGAGTAGGCTTATTAATTTTATTTGGTGAGATAAGAAGTAGGGGTTACCACGCGTTTTTAGAAGTTAAATTGGTTGGTTTCGACCTTAACTTAATCGCTTTGGGGGTTATTTACAATTTTCCCCATCCACTCCCCGGTCAGTTTCACTATTGCTTCACTCAACGCGGAGTACTCTGGGATATCCACAATGGCTAACAGTCAGAGAACAAACAACAAATTTTATTGAAAATTGGAAAATAACTAATTACATTACTTTCCCACCCGCAAATAGCTTATGAACTAATCGAGGCGGGGGGAGCTGAAGACATATTACAAAACAAGAATTATATATAGATGGACTAAATAACAGTGAAGACACTACAATACAGTAAATAGAGTTTAAACTAACATAAAACAAAAAACAAAAAACAAGGCATGTACATAACGATTACGAAGAGAGGTTAACTAAAGTATTAAATAACTTAATAAGACGGGAGACTTCGACATAATCATCTTCTGACCGCAAAAAATTTAGTAATAATTCCTTTATTTTTTTACGAAAGGACGAACGTTTAAGTATTTTAATCGAATACGGAATAGAGTTCCAAATTTGGGCACCGATTCTCGCGAAAAAGGCATACATTTTATCGGTTCTAGAGAACTTAACATAAAACGAGTCGCTAGAGACAGATCTTGTTCTGTAGTTATGAATCTGACTTGTTTTAACGAACTGATTGAGAATACTAACTGGTGCTGTCTGTCTGTTGATATCGTACAATAAATAGCTACAATCTCTGAAAAATATGCTAGGCAGGGGAAGGCAATTTGATTTGAGAAAGAAGGGTACGGCGTGTTCCTTAGACTTACTGAAGTAAATGAGACGTAAGGCCCGTTTTTGTAGAGTTACGATCTTTCGTTGAAATGTCAAGGCACAATTTCCCCAACCACAAATACCATAAGTCAAGTAAGGGACAATTAATGAGTTGTAAACTGAAAGTAAAACACGACGCGGGACATAATGTCGAATTTTAGCTATAATTCCTATCGACTTGCTGATTTTGTGACAGACAGATTCGATGTGGTATTTCCATGAAAGATTTGAATCAATCATTAAGCCAAGGTATTTTACATAATATTTCATTTCAAGGTTTGCGTAGGTGTTAGTCACGGAGTCAAAAATTCTAATCCTAGGTATGAAGGGCATATTCTTTTGCCGGGGACGAAAGATTACAAAATTTGATTTTTTTATGTTCGAGGACAGTTTGTTGGCCTTTAGCCATTCGTTGACGTTGCCAAGCTCGCGATTAACAAGTGTTTCGAGTTCCTTTAGGTTGTTATTTGCAAGTATTATACTAGTATCGTCAGCAAATAGATAAAAGGCAAATAACGAAGAGGACTTGTAAATATCATTGATGTACAGTAGGAATAAGAGTGGTCCGAGGACTGAGCCTTGTGGCACGCCGCACAAGGTCGTTTCAGCCTCAGACACAACATTATTAACTTCCGTAGTTTGCTTCCGATCAGTCAGGTATGATATGAACCAGGAGTTTATTACACCTCTAATACCATAATTTTCAAGTTTAGCTAACAAAATTTCATGGTTAACAGTATCAAAAGCCTTTTTGAGATCGATGAAAACACCGCACGAAAATTTACCGTTGTCCATGTTTTGGAGAATTGTGTTAACAATATCAAACTTGGTAACTCCGGAGTACATAAGTTTTTCAAAAATCCTGTTATAAATCGAGAGCAGAGAAATAGGTCGGTAGTTTTCGGACAGCGTGTCATCTTCGTCCTTAAATATCGGGATAATCTTAGCACACTTTAGTTTAGATGGAAAAATCCCTGAGCAAATAGACTGATTAAAAATCGTGGCTAGAGGTACGGATATGACCCTTTTTGCTAATTTCAGCAGCCTAACTGGAGATGAGTAGAGACCATGGGCCTTGTTGTCTTGCAAAACTGAAATTTCTAAATTGATATCTTCCGGAATAATAGGATCAAAGAAGAAAGTGCGATTAAGTGGCGGATCTAAATAATCATAGAATGTATTTATGGTCTGAGGAATTTTAGAAGCCAGTTTGCTCCCAACAGTGGCGAAATATTTGTTAAGAATATTGCTTATTTCCTTCGGGTCACTAGTTGGAACCTCATTCGGGTTTGAGCGAATAGAGTTAGTTGAGTTGCGCTTGTTTTTCTTTTTACAGTTTCCAATTAGCTCGTTAATTCCTTTCCAAGTTTGACGCATATTACATATGTTGAGATCAAAGAGACTTTGGTAGTAGTTCGCTTTACTTAATCTCGTAAGATAAATGATTTTATTTCTGTAAAATTTGTATTTGTTACGTTCTGAGGTATAGAAGAGGTTATTCTTTACCCTGATTGATTTTCTTAAACCCGCCGTCAGCCATGGTTTAGCAAGGAATTTTTGTTTACGATTGGATATACTTCTTAAAGGAGCGTGTTTGTTAATTGTCTTGTTGACGCATTTGTAAACCTGGAAAACGATTGATTGGCATCGATATGTTTGCAAATATTATTCCAATTAATATTCTGCAAGTCGTCAATGAAATACTTTGCATTGAAGGTAGAATAGTCACGAACCTTAGTTTTGTTGTTTGGAAAGAATGGTTTACAGTGCGACGATAATATGCACATCTGAGAGAAGTGATCTGTTGTATCGGACACGATATTGCCGCTGACTATATTATTCTCAGGATTATTTATGAAAATATTGTCAATTAAAGTTGCTGAATTACCATAGACTCTAGTCGGCTTATCAACCACTGGGAACATTGAAAAACTTTGCATTGTTTGGAGCAAGGTTTGTGTGTAACTACAAGTTTCATATTTTAACAGATCTATGTTGAAGTCTCCCATGAGATAAATATTTTGATTTTGACGGCATTGGCGTTCAAGAAAATCTGTCAAGTATTCTACAAACTCATTAGCGTTATTGTGTTGCCTATAAGTAACACCACATACAGATTTCTTATTGTTAGGCAGATGAAGTTCAATCCATAGGGCTTGATAGCAAGAATTGGAGACTCGTTCAAGGACGCGGTATTTACAATTTTGATCAATGAACAGGCCAACACCACCGGCAGATAAAGGTGTTGGGACCGATTCAAAACAGTATCCTGGTAAAGAAAAACAAAACACAAAGAAAACACAAAGAAAACACAAAGAAAACAACAACACACGGAGGAGAGCAAAAACAGAAAGTGAAGTGGGACATTTCATGGACTCAAAGGAAAACAAATTATACTATTTCATTCAACTGGAGCTTCTCCGCCTCAAACATTTAGCAAAACTTTTTGGAGAAGAGTAGTCTCCAAGGTATTAGAGATTACTTGCGAGCTTAAGATCAACGGCTGGTGCTGTAAACAAACTACTCTACTGTAGTGGAAAATAGTCGACAGGGACTCTAAGACAGGTTATACTCCTTCAATCGTTTGCTTACCCGTACATGTCCTCAAGATTTTTTGAACTGTAGGTGTAATATGAATTGCAAACCTTCTATCGTTTTTTTTATCATTTTACCGGGTACCTCTATCGAATATGTTATTAAACTTGCATACATTCAATGAGTTTATCTGTGCTTATCTGTGCTTATCTGTGCTTTGCGCTATCTCTTTCGGGCTTTGCCACAAGTGTCATATGACATAAATGATTTGCATAGACTCAAAATGTCCAGATTAGGTGTGGTGTGAAATTGAACCTTAAGAATTACTATCTACAAGACAAGCTGCCAATGAGTCAATAATTTCAATGCTTAGTAATGCCAAAATGCTTAAATATTAATGATAATAGTAAAAAGCATAACAATCTTTTTACCATTTTTTCCACTAAGAAAGCGTTTCCTTTGCGGTTCGCAACTATTTGTGAAGCAGCGATCTCAGCAATCCAAGCAATCTTGTAAAAGTTTTTTTCTTGTTTGTTCAACTAATAAAAGCCTCGGACTCTCAATAAAAGGGCCATATGTATGTACTCTAACGCTTTAAATCTATCTTCCGATGAATAATTACATAAAATCTTACAAAATTAAAGAAATATTCGGGAAAGTGTTTATAGCCGATTAGCCGATAAAACGCGAAGGACGCGAGTGAAAGGTAAGCTTGCAGTTTCTCGATTAAGCTGAGGACTTAGAATTATTTTCGTTCTGATTTACTGATCCTTGCCTATTAAGGGATTTTTTAATACCCAAGCTCTAAGCGTAACATCTTGAAGTAGCAACTTTTGATGTTTTAGAATTGACTTTTGTTTGACTATAAAATATTCGGTCAGATCGATCATATGTAGAAATAGCAACATGCGCATACTTCTTCGGTTTTCAAAGAACTGACAAGGTAAATGGAAATTATTTATTTTTCATCGTTGAAAAACGATGCATCTTTTCCACAAGAAATAACTAGAACCTCCCAGAATTAGAGGAGACAAAACCAGTCCGCGTGTCCTGCTTGGTGCGCATTTCTTTCGCGTCGCGCGCGACTACCTTGGCGGGCACCATCCTTAAGGATCTTTGTTCTTGCTCATGTATACTCCTGTAAAAATTCATTTTGGTCCTGGATCTCAGTTTTTCCCCTTTGGTTACGCATGTCAATTTTCCATATTTATCCATACATCCATACATATTTTCTAAACTGACATTTTTTTCTCTACAAAAATGACCAAAGCATAAATTAGAGCAACTGGCAAAAAAGGGTCTAGATGCTTGCTTTCAAACGAAGTCCATGTAGCTTTTACAACAGTAGAACTGGAGTGGTTTTAACGTTAACTAGTTTACCACAACAACAACAACAATACACAAAAATGTCTAATAATCACCCTAGAAAGCACTCCACGTGAATTGCACTAATATATCAATTCTAAACTCAGCTGAAATATTCTAAACAGATTACACAAAGTTCGTTTGAAAGGGGTTCCTATTTTTAGACGAGAATGATGCAGTAAGCCTTTCTTTCTCAATATTCGGCTACCTGCAGTCCTGCACAAACAGATTTGGCTGGTGCCCATCAGAATCTAAGCGTTTCTCCTGACTGTGAAATTTAGTGTTCTCGAACTCTACCATCGCTCTAACCTTCTTTAAGATCACCAAGTAATTAACTTTCTTGCTTCCTCTTTAGCCCAGCTAGTGTCTAATTGGAGTGTGTCTATTGATAATAAGACAGCAAAGAGTATGCAAGTTTCTTGGCAAGATCTAGCAACCTTGCTGGACCAAAGCATTCTTCACTATATAACCGTCATAAAAAGTAGCAATGGAAGCATCGTGAATGGAAATATCCTGCACAAAAACATCACATCCAACGTTTTCTATGGGCTGTTACCGTATATGGAATATCGACTCACTGTTCTGTGTGTAAATGATAACTGGAAGGTTTACAAGAGTTCAGAGGTTACAGAGTTCACTGAGGAGTCGGGTGTGTTTATAACATTACCAGCGCAATTATGTTATTGGTTGCCTTGCCTGCGAAAGCCCAGTATCTAACCTATTCATGATAGACCGTTTCCGAGTGACATCAAGCTTCTGTTTCAACGCGAGGCTAAGTGTGAAGCCATTGATATGAAATGATTTTTTATTGTCATGCTTACATAAAAAGTCATTTTCAGTCGCGTTTAGAAAGTAGGAGTGTTTGGAACTCGGAAATGGCCCATTAATCCTTGACATCAATGCCATGTAGGAAATGTCAATCAAGGTATTTTAAGCGTTAAATGCACGCCAGAAGGTTGCTTATGATTTTCTAGGATTAACTATGTTCCCCTCTCCATGCACTTTTTCGGGCAGCGTCAAATTATCGAGCGCGAAAATTTAATCGGAAGTTGGCAAAATGGCTTTGCAAAGTATTATTGAACCTACTCTAGCGCTATTCAGACCTGTTTTGCTGGGTGGTGGCACCCCCAGTCTGAGGTTAAAGCACCTGAACACGTAGAAAACGATTGGAAGTCTTTGGCTCCATCCAAGGTGGTTTCAGCCTATCGTTGCATAGCTCTCGTGAAAATGGACTATATAATTTTTAATCGACTAAAAAAAATAGGTTTGGTCGTACATGTGGATACTAAAAAGCTGATAAAATTGCTTGCATCGATTCTTGTAATAATTATAGCTGTCAGCGTTCTTCTATCGTTATCATTGGCATTTTTATTACTATTATTAAATTATTATTATTATTATTATTATTATTGCTTAGTTGCGGTGATAGGGTGCCAAAGCAAATCCTCTAATGAGAAGTCTTAAAATGCAAATGTACCCCTGTCTAACAGCTTCACACGTTTTATTTCTCTCTAGTTCCTGGTCGTGGACCTAACAATATAGCGTTCTCTGAAGTAACAACAACGCAGTTCAAGGTTACTTGGAATCCTCTTCCTCAGAGGTTTCACAATGGACGATTGTTGGGCTATAGAGTTTACTTCAGGAGGAGCGCCTATTATCCAAATCCATTTAATATAAGCAGTGTAGTCACTAACAGTCCTAACATGACATGGGAAGTTATAACAGGACTTGGACCAGCTCAGCGCTATGATGTTTCTGTGGCGGCGTATACATTGAAAGGAGAAGGGCCCCGTTCTGCTCTTCACTACATTACCACAGGTAAAGTTAATCTCAATTAAATTAGATAATTTTATTTAAAGTATGATGATGATGATGATGATGATAATAATAATAATAATAATAATAATAATAATAATAATAATAATAATAATAATAATAATAAAAATAATAATAAGACTAACACGTGAAAAAATGACGATGTGTGAGTATGGGGGAAATTGGGCACGTCCCAATCGGAGGAATGAGGGGAGCGGGGGCTCTGCTCAGGGTATGTTTCTTTGGGTACCTCAAACAAGGCGATCCGATTTCACCATTGAGCATCTTGAACAGAGTGTCTTTTTGGACCGGATACGTTTTGAACAGAGGATGAACTTTGACAGAGTCCGGTCTGTTTACATTGTACCTTTATCAATATTTTAGAAATACAACCCTGTAAGCCCCTATTACCACAGATAAATTTAACCTAAAGGAAAATAGATTGCTTTAATTTAAGGTATTATCATAAAAAAAAACAACAACAAAATAAGCAAAATAAACAAACACACACACACACAAACGACGAAGACGTGCCTTGGGGTTTTATTTTATTTTTTTTAATATCGATTAAGCTACAATGTAGGCAGACCGCAGTTTTCTTTTAAGAAGAGAAAAAAGAAGCAATTCATATAATAGCTTTTTTTTCCCTAAGTTTTTAAAAAATATTTTCGTTTTAGATCAAGAAGAAGACTTTAAAAGTGTATCCTAAGTGCTTCTATTTAGCGTTCAAAGCGAACTACAAGCTGTTTTCTTACTATCTTCGTTGCAGCTTGCAGGGTGGTGGTCAATCAATCATCTGGCGATATAAGTGTGACACATTCCCTGTTCTGCTTCTGGTCAATCGGGAATGCCGGTATCCCCCAGGCAATTGGTCTGGTGCTAATTCAGGAGATAGACTTCAGTTATTGCAGGTATCTATTGTTATTGTTACTTTACTAAATCTGTTGCCATTAAATGCTACAATTAAACCCTTCTATTATGAGTTTGGTACCCGATTGATACAAGTATTAATCATGATTGAATTCTAGAGGGAAGGAGCCTCTTAACGCTGTGTAATATTGCAAAAGCCTTTTATGGCTTGTTGTGAGAACAGCTCTTATGTTATTTTGCGGTAGCTTTTATTATCTGTGATGAATTGGAGCAAGCAGTAAGAAGGCCATTAAAACGTGGTATAAACGATGATAAATTAATTCCTTCGAGCGCCTGTCATCCTTCATATCTTGAAAAAAAAAAAAAAAAGGAAAAGGAAAACATTCTCTTAACCGCTTGATACATATTCTCTCATTATCACCACAGTGAATATTTCAAGATTTTTGACGGCAATGGGGTTCTGAAATTTCACCAAAGCGGCTGCTCATCCTCTGTTCGTGGATCATTGGTAGAGGTTCCGTTTTTTGCCTCAAACAACATAACAGCAAGTTTCAACATGCGTCGTTTCAGAAGTACTATCAAGGCTGATTACCTGATACTGCGGACAAGCATTCATACAGGTGAACCCTTATATCGATCACTGGCATGTTAAAAAAACGTGTCAAATGTACTCTAGGGCCGAGTTGTTCAAAGATACAATCCAGGCCAAAAGGTTTTGGGACACCTCCCCTTTTTCACTTGGTTTTGTATGGAATTTGCAGCTAACCTGCAATACACACTCATAAACACGGCCTTAACAAGTCCCCCAAACAAATTTGAGGTCCTTAAAAGTGTACAAGATATGTAAAAGGTGTTTGACTTGTAGCACCCAAAACTGTTCAGGGGGGGATGGGGGTCAACTTGAATTACATTTCCTCACCTAAAACACGAAGTGTCCCGAACGTTTTGACCAGGATTGTAGGTTAAGATAACCCAGGGTTAGTGCGAGATTTGAATTCAGGTTTGAAAGCTTAAAAAGAATTTCAACTTTAATTATTTTTGTCTACAAGTTGATGAATGAAAGCTCTAAAAATAACAGAGGAAATTATCCGAGAAAATGCTTTTGAACACAAGAAAAAGAAACCCAGGTTAAATTTAACCCCAGGTTAAGGGCTAATCGGCCTTCGAATAACTGGACCCAGGACTTACACCCACTTAGTTATTGCCTTTAAGCCCATAGTATTGTGAGCCTATTTCTTTTCAAAAGGACAAAAGTCCGTCGGTCAATTCTGACTTTTGGTAAGGTCTCTGGTGTAATGGATAACTTTCTACTTTTTAAAACCAGGAAAAGGGAGTCCGGCATGCGATAATCATGCGTGTTTTGACCTCGTGGTATTTTCTATTTATTTTATCTTCTTATTTCTTTTCAATTTGAAGCTTACTTGGCGCAAGCAGCTTTTGTAATTTAGAATGATTCTATCCCTAGTAATTGATATTTCATTTTTTCTATTTGTTCCTTGGTCTGAATAAGAACACTTACCTGTAGATGACTATCATTTATTAATTTATTCAAATATCTTTTCCTGAGTGTGTATCTTTTCTTATATCTTTTCTTGTATTTAGCTCAAATGCCTCGTGGCTGGAATTTAACAGTGGAGAGCACCACCTATTCAAGCATATTGATTCGCTGGTCAAACCTTACCAACGTTCTCAACCGCAAACTTGGCCATTACGTTGTCTTTGTAAACAGAAGGGATAACAGTGTAACATTGCATCAGATCGTGGATGGGGATCAATTAACCACGGAAATCAACGGACTCACTCATTCAACAAATTATACAGTGGAAGTCGTTGGTATTGACACAATGGGGAAGCCATACAAAACTCCATCAGAAGCCACCATGACGGCAAATCCTAAGAGAGGTAACACCACTGTTTTTTTTTCTATCAATGCCGAGAAAAGTTTTAAAAGTTAAACTACTTTTAACTTTTTTTTAACTGCCAAAAGTTACCAACATGAATTTCCCATCAGAGTTTTATAAGAAAGAAAAAGTAATGATGATTGATAAAATGATGGCTAGAACGGCAATGCTTTGAACCTATATGAGATTCTCTTAACTAAAAGGCCCTTTGCAGCTAGCCATTCACGTGATACAAAACCGCCGAGCTGGAGAGCGATTAAAGTCGCACTGACACAGGACAATTAAATAGTAATTTCCTTTATTTCATTCAAAGAAAAAAAAACGGGAAAACTCCATCAATCACTCTCCACAACCAATTCGCTGTTTTTCTCGTTGAACGAACGTCCAACAGGCAAAGCAAGTTTAGGTCAGTGCTACTCGTCGTTTGTAAGTAAACCAACAAACATCAACAAACAAAAATAACTGTCTTTATTCATTTATGCTGTGGCTGTTTACAGGCTGAAATTAAATTTCTTTAGTACTTAACAAGAAACGTTTACAGGTCATTAAATGACATAAATTAAAGGGCTTTAGAAAGAGGAGAAAGAGAAAAAAAAGGAACGAAAAGTAACAGCCTTACGTGGTACACTCGCTCAATTATCGAGATAATTAATAAATTAGCTCATCTAATCTGAGCTATTTCGATTTTAGTTTCGAAATCAATATCTGTTAAATGATCTTGCACCCTTGGCTTTACAGAAAAGCTGTAGACTGTTTCGACGAGAGAAAATAACGGAGAAAAATCTCACTTACAAATATTTGTCTTGGACTTCAGGTTTAAGACTAGTTGGAGGATTTGGAAGCTGGGAAGGAAGAGTTGAAGTATATTACAATAACATATGGGGAACTGTTTGTGATGATTTCTGGGATATACCTGATGCACGAGTCGTTTGTCGCCAGCTGGGATATTCTGGTGCGGTAAGTGCCCCAAGGAATGCCCGATTCGGCGCCGGAACTGGTCAAATTTGGTTGGATGATGTTGCCTGCTGGGGAAGTGAAAGTTCTTTATTCGATTGTGGGCACAACGGATGGGGTATCCATGACTGCAGTCACAGAAAAGATGCATCGGTGATATGCTCTGGAGGTATGTTGTACGTGACAATTAAGTCGTACTATGTGTGTTTCACTTTGTAAGGAACCAACGATGTTGCAGAGCATCCCGACTAAATGCTTTAGAAAACTGATGAGATAAATGCAAAATTGGACGAATTCTAATGATATAGAGGATACAATAGTAATACAGAGTTGAGGAAAAAGATGCTTTGAGATGCAACGTCTGAATGAACTAAATTCGACAGTTTCAAATTAAATACGATTTTGCCGAATCTGCAACTGAAGGAGTCGAAAATTCGGTTTGACATTTGATTTAGACGACCCATTTCTCATGTACCGAATATAATACGTTAATAATTGAACCAATTATCCATATTGGATAACAAATTGTTCAAGGGAATAGGATTATTTACAACAAACGGAGTCAAATTCGGCACTATGATACCGACATCTGAATCAACTGCCGTATTTGATTATTTTAGTCGACTAAAATAGGAGTTCGGCGCATAAAAAAATCCACGTTTGAACGGGGCCTAACATGACATACGTTTCAGCTTAGTCGTTTGCGGGCTCGTTTTTTAGATTTTTTTTTCTTTTTATTAACCGGCTTGTGCCAGAACTTAAGAATCAGTTGTAATAGTTGATTTTACTTTCTCCTCGACATGATTTGTACATCACTGGACATGATTTGTTTATCAAAAGAGCAATCAATTTTCATCCACCATTTCAATAAAAGCAAATGGAATCACTTCTTTCTATAGCGGAAAACTTGGAACCGTGACTTCGTCGTGTGAAAAGAAAGTAGAGAAAGCTAACCCTTTTTAATCAAATTATTCTAAGCTTTAAACTCGAAGCTTTATATAGTGTAAAATAATTATAATTTACTTTTACCGCGGTATTACTCGTAATAATAGGGAGAGGGTGAAATCGACAAATTAATGCGTGAAGGACTTATGATTCAGCGCCTCAGCAACTCTCGAAGGGTTGATCTACCTAATGCAGGAAAAGTTTTTCTTACCTTGTTATGTCGGGGCAAAACAACTCGACTTTGCGTTATCTCAGTGAAAATGATGGGGCAGGCGTCCTGCCTGTAACTGACGACGTCATGGCACAGCTCAGAGATAAACACCCAAGTCCACAGGAAGACCGCTTGGGTTCTTTGCTTTACGGGTCAGTAGAGAACGTCCCAGACACAATTTATCAACAGATAAATGGGGAAATGGTACGGGACGCGGCCTTGCGGACAAATGCTTCTGGGGGTCCTTCAAGCGTTGATGCGAATGGGCTCCGGAGAATTCTTGCATCAAAGTCATTCAACAAGTCTGGGACAGGCCTGTGCGCATCAACAGCAGCAATGACAAAACGCTTAAGCACTGCATATATCGATCCTCTTAGTATTGAGGCAATTTTAGCTAATCGACTCATCCCCCTGGACAAAGAAGTGGGCGCTGTCCGGCCGTTCGGTGTCGAAGAAGTTATACGGAGGATAATGGGAAAGTGTGTTATGATCGTGACAAAGTCCGACGTCGTCGACGCAAGTGGCTCCCTTCAAGTTTTTGCAGGGTAGAAAAGCGGAAGTGAAGCTGCAATTCATGCAAAGCGCAGTATTCTCAAAGCAAGTGAATCGGTTGCTGTTCTGCCAATCGATGCATCAAACGCCTTTAACGGCCTGAACAGAGCTGCAGCACTACATAACACCCGAATACTGTGCCCGACCCTGGCTACCTACGTGATAAACACCTATAGACAAGCTGCGTGTCTCTTCATTACGGGCGGCGAAGAACTAATATCAGCAGAGGGCACCACACAGGGTGACCCTCTCGCCATGAGCCTTTACGCCATAAGTCTTCAAACACTTTTAAAGCGATTGCATGTCTCAAGCGCAGCAAAACAGTGCTGGTTTGCTGATGACGTAACCGGAAGTGGTTCTCTGCACGACGTGAGAAAATGGTGGGATGAACTATCAGAGAGTGGTCCTGCGCTTGGCTACTTCCCTTATACCCAAGAAACGTTGGTTGATCATACAACCGCAATTTAAACAGGCTGCCATGGAGCTATTAAGATCCCCATAGACGGCCACAAGCATCTAGGCCCTTCTCTAGGATCAAGATCATCCTTTAAAGAATACGTTGGGGAAAAAGTAGGCGAAAAGGTCAATGAAGTTACTAAACTCGCGGCGTTTGCCATATCACAGCTGTCACTGTTGGACATATCTTAAGAACACTACCGGATACTTCAGAATTACTGGAGCCAATTGAGCGCGCAATTAATGAGGTTCTGATATCAGCTGTTACCGACCGTACAGTCACCAAGTAGAGCGCGACCACCCTTGTTTTTCTGTGCGCGCGGGAGGCCTTGGATTCACAGATCCTGTAGTGACCTCATCTTCTGAATACGAGGCTTCAGTCCAAGTCACTAATCCGCTCGTGAGGTAAATTGGTGAGCAAGAGCACCAGCCTCCAGATGCGTCAGAAATTTGAACACTGCAACTGAACTCACGAAAACAAAAGGACGACTGTCTAAGCGAGAGGCTGGAGCAGGTGAAGAACTCCCTACCGACAAGAACTAAGCGAACTGTCGAGTTAGCTACAGAGAAGGGATCATCAAATTGGTTGACCGTGATTACCCTCAAAGAGTTGGACTACAGTCTGAACAAGAAAGAATTCATTCAAGTTACGGTACGATTGGGAAATAACAGACACGCTTACCATCTGCGCATGCGGTGATCAGTTCAGCGTGGATCACGCAATGGTATTTAGGCGAGGCAGGTTCATTATCCAGCGCCATAATGGACTGCGCGACTTGGAAGCAGAGATGCTTAGGATGGTGTGCAAAGGTGTGGAAGTGGGCCGGTCCTTCAGGAGGTCACTGGGGAGACACTAATTCATGGCGCTGACAAAGCTCCTGGTGCCCGTTTGTATATTCATGCTCGTGGCTTTTGGGAGAGACAGAGATCTGTATTCTTCGATGTCCGGGTGTGTCACCCTAATGCAGATTCTTACTGAGACTTGGATCCTTTGCGGATCTACAAGAAGCACGACAGCGAGAAGAAGAGGCGGTATGTGGAAAGAGCAATTGTGATCGAACAGGAAACGTTCACTCCTCTAGTTTTCGCGACCACGGGCGGAATGGTGGATGAATGTGTTAAGTACCACAGCAGACTTGCGGAGCTGATCGCAAATAAGTGGAGATAAAGTTAAGTTACTCAAGCGCGATGTCCTAAAGTGTCTTTCGCTATCGCACGCTCTGCGTTACTATGCTTGAGAGGCTCAAGATCCAGAAGACGACAGATAGGCATTTTTGACTCAGATTCACAGATTGGAAACATTAGAGCCTGCTCGAATTTTTTTTTCTTTTTATTCATCCAGTTTTTTAAAGGAAATCTTAATAGATATTTTGTCATGCGCGCGGTTATAGTAAATGTAAATTTGTATTTGTAATGAACCCTTATGTTTTTAGTTCGAGAATTGCATATATGTATATGATAAGGAATGGTATTTTTTTTTCATTTATATTTTTAATACTACTATAATAATAACAATAATTAATATTATTAAAGTAAATTATAATTGTCATAAAAATTATCCTAGAACCCTTTGAGGCAATTCTTTAAAAAGCTTCAGACGCCTTTTTGCCAAATCTGGCCGTTTTCACCTGATATCTACTTCTTGGAAAACTCCAAGATGGCGGCCAAAATGGCGACCATGTTTGGTGACATCACATGTGTCCAGCAGCGTCACCACCCATAAGGGATACGTCATCTTGTCCAGAACATCAAAGGCGAAAGAGACGGTTACGAAACATTTACCGCAAAGGAATTCGAACCCCGACCCTCAGGAGTGATTAGATCTGGAGATCAGCGTTCCTATCCACTAGACCACCTCCCCAATCACCAAGAATATGCATCTAAAAGAGTTATATATTTCTTCTCTATGTTGATTCACAGTTTTTCAAGAATGACTTTTTCGGTTTCCGTGTAGATTTAAGTCTTCAACTGATCGAAGTTAGACGTAAAGCTGACCAAAAAAAACCACACAAACAAATGGATACTCTTCCAGGCTTGGTCTATGCAAAGCCATTTGAGGAATTTATGAACTATAAATCGTGCCGACTGAACGGTACCATTCTCTCCCTGCTTGTAAGGTGTCTCTTCGTCGGTCGGAGAATAACTTAACACAATTGTATTAGGTTAGGGGTACCAAACCCTTTGGTTTTTAGGGTTAGAAGTGCTGCTACATGACCTTTCTTCCCGGAATGAAGAAAAAACACTGTGGCCGCCAAATACGTCCTTTTGGCTTTTGAAGTTCACTTTATTAAGGTGGCTCGACTGGATTTTTTTGTGGGGGTATACCTCTCACTTTTGAGCATTAACTACGTTGGCATGAGTAAATATATCGGTAAAAGGTTACCACCACTGTATTATATAAAGATGAAAATTTCTTATGATCTGGGTTTTATTGCAATTGGAGTCGCCATGGCAACGTAATGACGCCATTGCGCTTTTTATTTATCTTTGCGTTTCTCTGTACCAGGAGTTTTTTGAAGAAATCGCTTAAGGGAGTATGTACCTACCATAATTGTCTCCATTATGGCAAAGCTTAAACAAATTCTATGAGAGCGTTCGAAATATTTTGACACGCAGTTTTAACAATCATAAAAACAGTGAAATAGCATGCTATCCACACCATTCGCTAATATTTTAAGAAACTGATAAGCTTTGGAAACGCGGCCTCATCCAATAGTGGTTTGATTCCATTGAAAATTGCATACAGAAAAAGAGGGGAATTGCTCTGGGCATTCGCGAGTAAGAAGAATTTTATTAACTTGCATTCAGCTGCGTTTGATACAGGTTTTGGACGTAATTTGGTCCATGCCTAAAAATTTCGCATTTTTCAAAAAACCGCTCGATAAATTTTTCATAAATTCAATAATCTCGAGATAAATCGTCAATAAATAATCCATGCGACTTTTCCGCTCATGTTCATTACCGCCTTAAATTATAAATACCGGTCGTCAACTGCTTATTTTTAAATGCCCCACACAACCAAAACCCCAAATATGCTATTTGTTGTTAATTCGGTAATGAAATCTTTTCACGGCAACGAAAAAAAAAACCTATTTTGGCAACAGTTACGTGACTGTTGACGTTATTACTCTAGATGTGACATGGCAATTGTTATTTTGTTATGACCTGTCATTGTTCTCTGTATAAAATTGTCAAAGCTATGAAGCTCTCTAGAAAGTTCCTCAAAGGATCTTTGGTTAATTTTTATGATAATTATAATTTACATTTATAGTTATAATAATACATAGTATGCGGCTGCAGCAAGCTTGCCCAAAGAGATTATAAAAAGAGGCACGACACATTGACCAGGGTTTTCCATTGCCAACTTTGTAAAGTTTATGATCTCCCATATAGTAGCAAGTGGTACGAACACAGCCCTGCAGTGATAACTGAGAATAAAGAAGTGAAAATATTATGAGATCTTACAATACCAACTGAGCGTGAGATAACTCAATGGCAGCCTGACATAACTGCGCATGAGAAGAACAACAACAAATTCCTCACCATAGACATAGGTGTGGTACCTGGCGACAGCAACGTTGAAGGCAATGGAAAATAGAAAAAGATACATGAAAATATCAAGACTTAGCTTGGGAATGACTAGACGTTGGAGGGCGAAGACAAAAATAATAACAGTCGTTGTTGGAGCTCTGGGAGTTATACCGAAGAACTTATAGCGTTCGAATTGAAGGAACTTGGAGTTCCAAAGAGTATCAGAACTTTGCAAAAGTCTGCACTTCGTGGAACGGCCACCATATTGAGAAAAGTCCTTGAAGTCTAGGACTAAAAGTAGGAAATGTTTTTGTTTCCAGGGCAAAGAACACCTGTGCGAGTTATAAATAATAATAATAATAATAATAATGATGATAATAACAATAATTGATAAGAATTGTTTTATTGAACTTTGAAAACAAAAATATCTACATAATTTACAGAAATATTTGAAGTACAGGGTGTAAGAATTAAGCACTATATAACATTATGAATTATATAAATCACAAAAATAGCAATCACTTTGTCAATAACGATTGCGCAAATACATTCCTTGCGGCTGAGATGCGGTCAATGACTCTTGCAGGCAGTCCACAGTTTTAAATTAAGTCATTACAAAAGAGAATTATCCGTCTCTGATTTTAAAATGAAACAAGGTAAAAAGGATAAAATCTCCTATTCCTAAAATTCTTACTTCTTTAAAGAAAGATCCTTAAAAAAAAAGATTAATTCGGGCAGGCTCTGATATTATCGATCTGTAGGTCTGAGTCAACAAATAATAATAATAATAATAATAATAATAATAATAATGGAAACTTTATTTGTGTTTTTGAATGTACAATTGTAAATCTCGCTACGTATAGGCAATTTACAAATGCTGCTTGAGATTGGATTATTAAAAAGAAAAAAAACAAAAACAAAACAAAAGCCAAAAAAAAAAAAAATGAAAATTGCATAAAGTCTGGGCTATCCCAGTTCCTCGTTCTACAAGTGTTGCTCTAATGGCTATATTTATCATTTTCTTGATTATATAACGTTGCTGCTTTTAGTCGATGCCAATGCCATTCATCATGTCTAAGAACGTGGAGCATTCATCGGAGAAAACGCCAAGGGAACTCATAGAGAAATTTAAAAATCTCACAAATCTGTAATTTCTACTCATTTCGTTGATCAAGTTCAGATATTTTTCTTTCTTACGCACTGCATTGTTGTTAAGGTTAGACTCGAAACCAACTGTTAATTCTAGAACATATAAGCACCTGGACTGGATTAGGAGAAGAAGATCTGGACGTTAATTTTCACCAGTTATTATTGAGGGATTCAGAAAACCATTAACATATGCATAGAGTGAAGAGTGAACATTAATTACAGGTTGAAGTGATTTGGCAATGAAGTTAAAGCGATCAAGGTACTGTTGACAACCAGCGACAACATGAAGGAGTGATTCGGGATTAAGACAAAAGGAGCAATCAGGACTTTGCAACCTGAAACTCTGTCCGGAAAAAAATTTTAAATGGCAAAAGGGAAAGGTCAAAGCACTAGGCGTGTGGCTCTCTACAGATCACCAGTTAACACTCTCTCTCAATTACAACGAGAAATTGGCAAAAATCCAAACTATCCTGGGATGCTGGAAATTTAGAAGACTTAGCTTGATAGGGAAAATAACAGTACTAAAAAGCCTTGTAGCATCCCAACTGGTCTATATACTCACACCTTTGCAAACGAATCACCAAGCAATAAAAGAGATCAACAAGCTTTTTTTCAATTTCTTATGGAACGGCAAAAAGGATAAAATTAAACGCTCGATCATGATCAATGACTACCCTGAAAGAGGACTAAAAATGATTGATATTGCCTCTTTTAACAAATCACTCAAGG